TGTGGAGATGTGTGGAGAAAGCTGAAGCTGCCGTGGAGACTACTGAGATTAAAAAATGCCAGTAACAGAACAACCAATAAGAAAACTTTAAAATAAAAGAAATGCCAGTAACATAGGACATCATAGTAGGACAGTTACAAGAATTGAGCAGAAACAAGCCAAAAAAGGCCACTTTTGCTGCAACAAAGGGTGGAGCTACACATGCCCTTTGGAGAAAACATCAAGATGCCTTGTGCCCGGATGCAGGACATGAAGCTACAGGACTTGCATTTCAGTCTTGGTTTGGTCCTATCCCTTCTTTCTATGCCCCTCATTTTGTGAATAGAAATGTTTACTATGTACCATTAAATATTGGATATTTATAAATTGCTTTTTATTTTATAGGAGTTCACAATGCGAAGCCTTTGGACTTGAACTTTGAGCAAATCTTGGAACTGCTGACTATGGGGACTCTTAGAAATGGAAAAAATATATTTTGCTTTGTGAGATGTTTGTGAGGTTTTGGGGCAGACTGGTATGGTTTAGATGTGAGGTTATCCCCAAAAGCTCCTGTGTGAGACAGTGCAAGAAGGTTCAGAGGAGAAATGATTGGGTTGTGAGAGTCTTAACCCATCAGTGATTTAATCCCCTTGTAGGGATTAATATGTGTGGTAACTGAAGTGGTAGGGTGTGGTTGGAGAAGGTGGGAATTGGGGCATGGCTTTGAGTATATATTTGTATCTGGCGAGTGGACTCTACTTCATGATCACCATGTAAGCCTCTGCCACACTCTTCATCATGTTCCACCTCACCTCAAACCTGGAGGAATGGAGCTGGCCTTCTATGAACTAAGACCTCTGAAACTGTGAGTCCCCAAATAAACTTTTCCTCCTCTAAAATTGTTCTGGTTGGGTCCTTTAGTCACAGCAGCAAAAAAGCTGACTAAAACATTGGTATATCAGCTAATTGTCTTCTTAAAATTAGTGTTGGATCTTCTTGGTACTTAAAATGATGGTTTATTCCTAATTAAAACATGGACATTTTCATATCATAAGACTCTGGATCTTATTTGAACTTTATTTAGCTAGATTTTTGACTCTGTGCTAGCAAGAGAAGTGGGGTGATAAGACCCCATTACCACTAGATGGAAGCAGAAGTCCAGGTCCCCACTTGGGCTCTGCTGATGTCAGGGAAGAGGTTCCTAATTTCTGTTGAACAGGTGTAGAAGTTCCAACCTCTGTGCTGCCTGTGCTGACAGTGACGGGAGTTGCTTCATTGCTGCTGGGTCTTGGTACAAAGGTCCCTTCTGATACTAGCCCAATGGGGAGCAGAAGAGCACCTCACTTCTGTCCAGTGGGTGGAAGTCCAGGATCCTTAGTAGTTTCCAGTGATACCTACTGGGAAGAGGCTCTTTATAGGCCAGTGGAGTAAAGTTTTTGGCTTCTACTTGTCCTTTTTAAATCCCACCCTAAGTAGGGTGTTATACCTCATAAGAGGAGGAGTCTACACCTTTCATATGGCTTCTACTTACATTGATGGCAGTGCGACCACTGTTTATCAGTGGTGTTTGTCTGGAGTAGAAAAACTTATTGTCTTAAGAGTTTTCTATTGAGTTAGCTGTCACTTTCCTGGCTCTGTGGTTATATAGTTTAGGCTTTTATGGGAGTTTTGTGCATGTGTCTGTGCCTGTTGGTGTTTCCAGATTGCAGTCTTATTCCGCTTCAAACCTTGAATACATGAGGCAAAAAGGAAACCCAGATCACAGGGTTATTACTTGGTTCCTGAAGTCCCAAGCAACTCTCCTTCCTTTTTTTCAACCCTTCAGAGTTGTCTTATATTTGTTTTAGATGTAATATCTGAGGGTTTTAATTGTTTTTAGTAAGAAGAACTGGAATAATGTGTCTACTTCATCTGCAGTGAAATCTCTCCAACTACCTTCTGATTTATATACTCTTTCTCAAGAATTTTCATTATTGCCAAATGGGATGCAAAACATGAAATTTATTCTTCCATATCTGAATTCTGATCAGTGTTTGACTCGACATAAATTTAACAGATATAAATCATCTTGCTAACATGCTATTGATTAGTAATCCACCTAGACCTTATTTATTTTGGCTGAAGAGCAGAACAATTTATGTTCAAGTTCTATAATTACAACCAGATGTCAAATGCTTCAGTATGATAATTAGTCTCTATCTAGTCCAAACTTAGATTCATGTCCAAGATAATTTAGTAAAGGTATGATCTTTTCATTCTTTACTTATCCTTTATCTTGTAATCATTTTCTGTAGATAATACTATGTAAAAATGACGAGCAAGTTAAATAGAGAATATATAGATCAGAGAACAAACCCCAAAATTATAAAAGCAAAAGATTATCAGCTTGATAATGTTTAAATATACATTGAGAGTCTCTCTGCTAAGTATGGTCTTATTTGCAGCTTTCCTGCTTTTTATATTTCCATGTAAACCTAAAGTAGATAATTTTGGGGATGTCCACCCCAGACACAATTTCCCCTTCTCAGGGGACTCTCTCTAGGTCCACAAGGGTAGGGCTTCCAACAACCACTCTATCCACTGACATGGTTGCCAATCAGATTCTTTCTCCTTATAATTTAGAAGTGGGAATGAGCGATAATGAGTTAATCTTATAAGTCAAATTGCTACGGGATGCAAATTTGTGAGCTGACCGTTGTGTACCCCTTCTTCTAGAGAGGGAAAACTAGACTGTAGATGGATAAAGAGCCCTGGGTAGTTTTCCTCTCCCAGTTCTACCCACATTCTGAAGCCTGGATGAATTCCTCTCCTTTTCTTCCTATGAATAGCCTAGTATTTTCTTGGAATTCTTCCCTTTCACCCTTCCTTTATGTTTTTTTTTTTAAATAAGTGGGTTTAGAACTTTATTTTTTTAAGAGAGAATTTTTTAATATTTATTTTTTTAGTTTATTTTTGGCGGTCCTCCTTTATGTTTTTTAATTAAGCTAGTTTGAATTGGTTTCTGATATGTATAAACGGAGAGGTCTTAATACATCCTCGTATTTGTCTATACCTTCAGGCTCAGGCTAATACACACTGAGTGCCTTTCTGGGTTCAAAGTACATAAGGAATCTCTTATGAAAGATATAGCTAAAAATCAAGTTATGTTCTAATTGTCACCCAGACCCCTTGCCCAACTCTAGATTCTCAGCTTCTTGGCCTCTTTGCTCAAATGTGTTGTATTTTTGTTATTAGTTTCCCAATTTGTGATTTTGCTGATATTATCCTGTTCGATTCCTTGTTTGCCTGGGCCAACACTACAATTTGCTTACCTCATATTAGCTGACCTATTGGACTCCATTCCTGTCAGGCATCCTTCCCCAAGATGATTGCTACCCATTACACTAGAAACTTCCCTCAATTTCCCAGTTTAATAATCTTATTGATTACATAAAAAATACCCATTAATAAACATTTAGGGAAAAACAACTGAAAGAAGACTACCATCCCCTAAAACCACTTTAGTTATCAGGAGATAATCATTGATGGGAATATGTGATCCCAGAGCCTTTTTGTAGGTGTGTATGTGTTTGAATGTGCACATACATATAAATGCAACCATACCAAATCTGTATTTATCTGATTTATATATCCTATTTCATTCACTTACTTATTGGGAACATCATTCCATGCTAATTAATTAAATATTCTGTATGATACTAAATAGCTATATAATATTTCATTTTATGAATGTACCATAATTTATTTAAGCAATTTTCTTGGGCATTTATTTCATATCTCTATTTTTGACTTCTCTTAACAACACTGAACACATGTATCACACCATATAAGCCTTTTAGACCTTATTTAGGCTTTTTCTGCAGTTTACAATTTCTAAAAGTGAATTTTTTTAGTCAAAATGGATGTATGGGAGCTGAGTTGAAGAGCATGTAGTTAGCATGTGTGAGGTCCTAGGTTTAATCCTTAGCACTACATAAAGGGAAAAAAAGAGAAAGGAATGTGAAGGATTGAAAAGGAAATGAAACTAAGGATTTTCCACGTATATTGTTGGATTGCTTTCCAGAAACTCTGTTTATATTCACGAAATCAATGAATAAATTTGTCTGCTGAGAAGTAAAAATGGTATTTCATCATTGTATTAATCTGCACTCTTTAGATTTTAGTGAGATCAAACATTCCTAAACGTTCATTTTCTGTGTTTGTTTTTTCTCTTGTGAATTCCTCATTCAGAGCCTTTTCCCCTTTTCACATTAAAATATCCATTATTTTCTAAATGACTTATAGGTATTCTTTGTGTATTTGGTATATTGGTCCTGATTTTCACTTATGTTTAAAGAGAAAAGACAAAGCATAATGATGAAGTTCAGAAGAACTCTGGAATCAGAATGTCTGCCTGGGTTTGAATTCAGATTTTGCTACCTATTATCTTGTGTGATACTTTGCTGAATTTACTTATCATCTCTATAAGTCCTATGGTGGAGTTTTTTGGGGTCTTCTAGATGTCGGATTATGTCATCAGCAAATAGATAATTTGACTTTTCCTATTTGTATCATTTTCAATCTCTTTCTCTTGTCTGATTGGTCTGGTTAGAGTTTCAAGAACTATAATGAATAAGAATTATTTAAAAACACCTGAAAAATTTCAAGTCAGGATATGATTACATATAATTTATGCATACTTTATTCACAGATGCAAATTAATGAGTAATTTCATACAAATAACCAGTCAAATAAGACCTGATAACTTAGAACTTCACATACCTGGTGTTTTCTTTGTCCCTTTGTCAAATGTGGTGTAGCTGATATCATTTTCCAAAGACTATTTATTTCTCCAGGATTGTTGCTTAGAATAATGAACTAATCTGCCTTGCTTCCTTATAAATGAATGTATTAAATATTTAGGAACAGGATGCGGCTCTGGGGTATAGCACTTGCTTAGCATACACAAGGCCCTTGGTTTGATTCCTAACACCACCTAAAAAAATAAAAAAGCTACAAATAATAATACTGTATGGACTTACTGATGTTGGATTTGCAAGTTGCTTCTTGAATTGAATAACTGTTTTATCTGAGTGTTTTCCATGGGTTTTTGGGTTTCCATGAGAGGGAGCAAATAATGCAATATTTCTTGAGTTTGAGCTATTCTTTTATCCCTGTAGATTCTTTTTTCATCATCTGTCCAGTTTATGCCACTCTTCTTACTTTGGACAGGTGTACATTCTTTACCTTTGCTTTTTAAGTTGTGATGAAGATCTGGGGATCAACCAGAAAAATATGAATAGATATATGAGTTGTATTTATTCAATAATTACTTATTAAATTATTAAATTATTACTTATTAATTATTAAAGGCAAACAATTTTAAAGACACTGATAAGAGCATGGTTGGAGTGAAGGAAATTAGACCAAAGGAATGGAGAAAATGTGCTAGAGATGTGGATGAGGTTTCAAGAGCTGGAATGTAAATTATATTCCTACATTTGGAATTGGGTCAATATAGCTCCCCTATCTGCCCAGCTCTGCGTATTCACACATGTCCAGATTTTAACTTTAACTTCCTGAGAGATATGATGTGACCACAGGTATCTGATTATTCCTGTCTCAGTCTCCCATTGAGATGGAATATGAAAAAGAGGGAACAGTCTACCATGAGAAAACAGTCGGGATGGGTTTCCATATGTTATAAACTTGAAGGCATTTCTATTAAATTCAGTGCATATGGATCAGGTAAAACTCCTATGGGTTGATTTAAAAAAATCTTTCCTAAGAAAAAGCAGTATTCCTACTAAGCAAACAAAGGGACCCCAGAAACAATCTACAAACATACTCTAAAATACAGATAGAGGGTTAAGGTGAGAACAGTCATTGAAAACTGTGGAAATATACTGTGGACTTCTTTTTTAAAAGATTTCAATATCCCCCCTACGTAGAATAGTATATATAGGTAACTCTCTTTAAATCCATTACTCAGCTTCAATAATGTGTTTTCCTGTTAGGATTGATCAACATTTAGATTTCATTGATGGCACTAGAGGACATGGTTATAGACAGCTAAAATAACAAGAAAGTCTGTGTAGGTGAAGCATGTTCCAAAAAACAGACAAGATTCTTGGAGTGCCGTGACTTCCTGCCAGCTTCTGGGGTCTGGTTGAGCAGAAAAGTGGCTACTACAAGGGTGTCACATTTGTGCTTCCCAAGTTCAAAGAGAAATGACTTAGGTCTAAAACTATCTGCAGGATTTGTCATGAATTTACTCCTCCTCCAGGCTCTCCTGGCAGCCGAAATTCTGTTTTTGTATTATATCTTATCACTAAATATAAACTCTTCCAGAACTAAAATCTAACTGGGTTCTTCGTTAATCTCTGACAGCAATCCATGACATTTCCTCCTTAACAAGTTCAATAATGGGGAAAGACAAACATCCTTCTGTAAGAAACAGAGTGATAATGAAGACATAATATTTTAGAGGAAAATACATAGTCTTATATGCATATATTATTAGAAATGTGGGAGGCAATCAAAGATAAGATAGCTCTCTATGAAACTGACTTAATGTTAAAGAGTATTGTAGAATTTTATTAGACATGTGTCCATAAAATAGTCAAGAAAGGATGAGATGCTAATTTCAGGAAAGACTGGATAAGGCTAATTAGGCATAGCTGTGGAGGCAATGGGGAACAACAGCAGGAAAAACCCTTCCAAAGTGGACAAATAACTTTCCTTTTTTAGCAGAATCATACAAATACCACTAGTCTCCATCCAGTTCCTCTCTTCCTGTTCTAAAATACACTTTAATTAGAATTGGTACCTCCATCATTGTATTGAAATTTCTCTGATTAAGATCTCCAAGAACCTCAGTGCTGTAAATTCAATAGTCAATCCTTTGCAGTTGACCAGTCAGAAGCCTCAGACTCAGACTCTCATTTGGCTTCTAGAACAACACATTCTATGAATTCCTCAAATCCTACCTCATACCCCAAAGTAGTCTTTTTTGTTCCTGTTCTTCTCCTGACCCATTAATGTAGGGGCTCCCTGGGGACTTGGTCCTTAACCCTTTTCTATCTCTATAACTATTCCCTTATGAATTCCATCCAGCATCTATCCTAAAATAGTATCTATATGCTGAAAATTCCCAAATTTATCCCCATTCTAGGTCTCTCTCTAAACTTCAGACTCATATCCTTCTGCCTATTCAATAGTGCAACTGAATATCTAACAGACATTTCAAATGCAACATATCCAAATTGAATTGCTGCTCCATTCTTACTCCCCCCCCCCGTCAAATCAGCAGATAATAACTCAATCCTGCTAGTTGTGTGGCTCAAAAACATGAGGTTTCAATTCGTAAACATCTGAGAAACCATCATCACAGCCAGGATCTAGTATAGATTGTCCCTAAAAGGTTCCTTGTGCATCAAATTTCCCATTCATTCTCTACTCCAGGAACCTTTTATGTTTTTTTTTTATCTATAGGTTAACTTGCTTACATATAAATGAAATCATATAGCATTTTTCCATTATGTATCTGGACTTTTCATTCAGCATAATAATTTTTAGATTCACCTGGATGAATAATGTAGGTGAATTTGACTTTAGTTTTACTAACTTAAACTAGCATGAATTACCATGATAGACTCAGGACAAGGCCAATCTTCTCTGTCCCTTTATAAGGGTGCTTTAGAATAGACACATCTCAAGACAGAAACTGTGAACTACAATGGTCTTCAATTAGTGTAGGGATACTCTAAAGAGACATGAATAAAGGTGATTTCCTTCCAATGAAAAATTCCAGGTCTGGAAAGCAAAAGCTACCAGAATATGGTGGTGGCATTGAAAAAAATCCCTATGGGGGAAAAGTGAGGATGAAAGGTATCAATAGCGGGGAGCTATTGCAAATAAGATAATTAAAATTTTTTTCAAGGCTGTATTAAACTGAAATATTTTTCTTCTAGATTTAACTCATATGAAGATTAAATAAGGCAAGTATTTTCATGGACAAGACAAAAATAGTTATTAATCCATTCTGTTTACCAAAGCAGTTTCCAAAATCCAGGTTTCATAAATTTACTAATGAAAATATAGTATAAATCATCTTTATATTAATTAAAATACTAAATAATAATTTTTTAAAAACCTGTTCGTATCCTTGTCTTCTCAATCCAACTTGATGTTTGTTGGCTCCTAGGAAACTTCAAGGATGTCACTCTGAAACAGTTTTCATATAAACGATTTCCCAGGGGCTGAATTATTTCCTGGATTGGCCTCTCACAGGTTTCTAGAAAATATCTTCGATTGTCTCTGCTAAAACTCTGAATCATATTTTGGGAGCTGAAAGAAATTGGGTTCTGTGATCTCAATTTCAAACAGCAAACTACCCACTCAAGAGTAATGTACTGCCATGTTCTATTGGCATATTGTACCCCAGAATATGCAAAGTGTGTGTGTACATATACATATATATATATGTAGACATGTATATATCTAATCTTACATAAGGGAGATCAAAAGGGTTAAACTATTTGCTCAAGATCACCCAGATAACAGGAGGCAGAGGCAAATCTAGAAGTCATACCTTCTATCAACAGTACTTTTTCTCGTATCTTAATGTATCATTCAATTTATTTTCATAGAGTATGATAAAGATATGATAAATGATATTTTTAAAAATTAAATCTTAGTGTAAAAGAATTAATTTTATATACAATTATGGATATGCCAAAAGGTGCCTTATATATTGGTCTTAGAATATGTAAGGCATCTTTGGGACAAGTCTCTGTTTTTCCTTAAAGCCTATTTTATTTAGCAGAAACCAAGTTCTTAGGGGAGAAACCAAGGAAAGGAGAAAGAACATACCATGGTCATGGTCACTCTGTTGTGAAAATTCAGGTGAGTTTCAAATGCTTATCTATGACTACCTGTTTTCACTATCTAGATATTTGTTCATATCATTATTCTAAAGGACAGGGAAACTTGCCAAGGATGATAGAGATAGAATAATTGCTGGTACACACAAAACTACAATGTTGGTTTATGTAATCTCTGAATTCCCTTTCTATTCCTCTTTCAGTTTTTGGGTACTAGTTTTTGCCTCAGTGACCAATGCTCCAATTGCCACTATACAGAGTAAAACATTTGATTATTATTCATTCTTTCTAAAGCTCTAAATAATCAACTTATGTCAGAGATATTGGTTTTAAAAGAGAAACTCAGACACTGCAAATAATGAGTGCATAAAAATAAATGTCTATAGAATTTAAGGCAACTACTAAGGACAGCTTGGCAATATTGAAATCTTAGAAACCTTCAAAGTACCCATCTTATGGGTGTGTGTGTGTATATATGTATATGTATGTATGTGTGTGTATATATATATATATATATATATGCATATATATGTGAAAATGACCTAGTCATAGGTACTGTGTTGAATATAAGAAGATATTCAATTAGCAATGGTTATCAGAAAGTCACTTTAACCTGTTGCTTTAATTCAAAACCAAAATCTTATAAGACAGAGGAAAATGAGTAAGATAGTTAGGTAGAAGAAATCAAGTATAGTTTTCCTACCTTAAATATTTTTTTAGAAGCCAAGAAGGAGCTTGTCCAGGTATTTTCACTGTAAAAGAGAATATACTATAAAATATATGCTTAGGTATTAAGATCAACAAAATACAATAGTTTTTTGTCATTTCATTTACATGGCTAATGCTTGCTTAATTGAGATTATTTTCAATTAATCCACTATTATTTCATTTAGATATATAAAAGATAAAAGTACATATTTCCTCTGGAAGCCTTTTGATTAAACAGTTTCCAGAGAATAGCAAACAGTAGAAATACCTAACTAATAACTGTCTAACAATTCAGAATTAAGTATGTTTGGATCTATGAAGATTATCTACATGTTCACTAATGAGGCCAACCTTTTAGAGAGCCAATTCAGGACACAGACATACCAGACCTCTCACAATTTAATTTAGTACATTAATGTAATAAATAACTATACACAGTACTTTATTATTTTAAGATAAAACAGGTATTCAAATTTATATATCATTCTATATTATTTACTTTGCTAATACCCACTATTATTTAAGCAAAACAATATAACTAGGTAAAAGGCAGTTAGTTGTTATTAACACAGTTAAACAAATAATATGTATGAGAAAGAAGAATATTTTACAAAGTTTCTCTCCTTTCCTCTGCTATAGAATTTAACTCTATCAGATATTTAAATTTTATAGGCCATAGAATTGTATAATCTTTAAAAAGTTGAATGTAAATCTATGGAGACCAATTAAATAGATATCATCTATATTGAATAAAAATTAACAGTGACATTTTTTTCTTTCCCATGATATAGCAGAATGTTTTTGCTGTTTCATTTTCCAAGAATACCTCTCTTAGCTACATATAGCCTTTAGAATATCATTTCTTTCTTTTATGTAGTGGTAAAATGGAATTCACACAAACATCAAATTCCTTAATTAATCAATTTATTTATTTATTTTGCTTTTTGTTTTTGGTACATGAACCTGGGGGTGCTTAACCACTAAGCAATATCACCAGCCCTTTAAAAAAAATTTATTTTGAGCTGGTCACAGTGGCATACAATTGTAATTCCAGGGGCTTGGGAGGCTGAAGCAGGGATATTGAGAGTTCAAAGCCAGCCTCCACAAAAGTGAGGTGCTGGGGCTGGGGATGTGGCTCAAGTGGTAACTCGCTTGCCTGGCATGCGTGGGGCACTGGGTTCAATCCTCAGCACCACATAAATATAAAGATGTTGTGTCCACTGAAAATTAAAAAATAAATATTTAAAAATTTTCTCTTCTCTCTTAAAAAAAAAAGTGAGGTGCTAAGCAACCCAATGAGATCCTGTCTAAATAAAATACAGATGTGGCTCAGTCGTTGAGTGCCCCTTAGTTAATCCCCAGTATACTCCCCTCTCCCCCCCCAAAATTATTTTGAGACAGGGTCTCACTTAGTTGCTTTTAGGGCCTTGCTCAATTGCCAGGGCTGGCTTTGAACTTGTGATCCTTTTGCCTCAGCCTCCCGAGCTGCTGGGATTTTAGGCACGTGGCCACTGCACCTGGCTATCAAATTCCTTTTGGCTTTGTAGTCCTGCTCTTATCCAGCCCATACTAGACTGATACTGGCCAGTTCATGGTAATGACATCAAGTTAGATATAGTGTAAACAACAATGTTTTGAGCATGCAATACTTTGGATCTTACTTATTACTAACAGCAGGAGTTTCAATGTCAATCTGTTTTGTATCTTTAGATGTGCTTTTGCAGATTAGCTGTTTGTTGTTCAGGCACTTTGTGTCTGTCTGTCACACAGATGTCTGTATCTAAAATGTCTATTAGTTTTAGACACCTTGAAGTACATTTGAGAAAGAAGGACCTGATGCTTTCCAAGAAATACTTCTGACTTTTCTTTCATTTTGACAGCTATGGCTGCTCCAAATACCTTGTAGCAGGCTGCAGCTATATCAGACTTCCACAACTTGTTCTGAAGACTTTTTCCTTAATCATGCAAGTTTTAATAGTGAGTCCATCCCAGATGACTGTGCCCCCACAGACTCTCTGAATGACTGCACCCTTCTGCAGCTGGGTCAAGTGTCCGCACTCTATTCTGTGAGAAGGCCCTTCCCTATCTAAAACTAACCAGAAATTCTGGGATTGCTATGTGCATTCATGAGCCCACAGTTTTTGTCTGTATAAGCAGCCTTCTCTTTCCCATTATAGGATAGGTCTATGTACTATTTTCCTTATGTTGTAGTAAAGGTCCTAATAAAGTCTCTTTTGAATGATTTTGTTTTGCCTATCCATGATTTTTATCTCAAATAGAGTGGGCTAAGATGGTTGCACTAAAAGTTTGCTAGCACCCAAATCTGCCAGTAGCCAGAGTTGGTAATGCTGAGGACAGCTAGCTGCTGAGAGCTGCAGGAAAAGCTTCTGGGAGAGCTGTTAATTCCAGCTGCAGAAGGAACTATAAACTGTAAGCTCCAGCTGCCAGAAAGGCAAAGGGGAGAGCTGCTAAAGAACTGAGAGTTGCTAACCCTCAAAGCTCAGAGTTGCTAAGTCCTAGGGAGCTGCACTTTGCCTATTTGTGATTTCTGTCTGAATTGAGCAAAAGGACTCTCAACTGATTGGTAAACTCACTGACTGTCATCAGAAGTTAAATTTTTCTTTCTCAGGGAAAGAACTTTTTTTTTTTTTAAGAATGAGATAATTTGAACTTAAATGAGTATCCCAAATAAATTACAGTTTTAGTGCTTAATTTGTATGATCCTTTCCAGTGACAGTTTTTTTGAGGTCTTAGACTTATTCTCCCCCCCCAACAAGTCATTTTTTTTTTTTACCATATAAGCTTTTGTCACAACCAGGACATGATAATGATCAACTTAGATACAGTAAGTTTATTTTCTTGGCTCCTTAAAACCTCTTCAAAGACCATCAGGTTTGAAGAAACAGCATGTAAATTGTTTCACTACATTTATTTCCTCCATCCTTATCCTCAAAGTATTTCCAAATTAGAGAAGGATATTCCCTTCTGTATCACACTTGAAGATGTGACTTAACGGTAGAACAACATTTTGATATCTTCTCAATGGCTGGCAACAATAATAGCTATTGTATACACATGTCTAAGGAAGTTCTCTTCTTTTATTTCTATAAAGTAAAAAATTTCTTCATGTTTTGAGGAAACTAAAATGTGACAAAAAACTTTTGTTATGAAAGCCTCACTATCACATATTAGCAAATCACACCCATTGGTAGTACAAGATGGGAGACATTTGTTAGGTAAGATCTTTTCATTTTCTTTGGTAAAAAGCAAGCTGTCTGATTAGAACATGCTGAAATTTACATTTTAATTGCCATCTATGCAGATTGATGAGCACAACCAGTTTGTATTTGGATAAAATATCAATATATATTTTAAAGTTTTCTTGGTTTCATTAAAATCTTCATAGAAGTGAAGATTGCCTCAAACCCCATTTTTCAAATCAAAATATATAAGAGCCAGGAGAATGCTTTTTTGTTACCAGGATTCAGTGCACTACTTGGTAAAATGTCGAAAACATTTTGGTTGTAGGATTTGATAAAATGAGCTTTACACTGTAATAGACCAGCACATCTGTCATCAGAATTTCCTTTTTGTTGACACACAGGGTATGTAAGTGGCAACCTCTGAATCAGGAAACATCATTTTATTCTGTTTCATCAAGCAATAAAGGAAATGGATGATAACTATTCATTCTGTAGTATGCGCAAGTGAATTCACCAGCTATTTTTTTTTCTCTTTTTTTTTTTTTTGCAGGGCTGAGGACAGAACTCGGAACCTTGCCAGTACTAGGCAAGCACTCTGCCACTAGGCTAAAACCCCAATCCCACCAGCTATTATTTTTGATAGAGAATTGGTATTTTGTGGGAGGGAAAATACATTAATTTAGTTCTTGCTTGTCTCATCCTGGACTTATGAGATTTAGTCTCCCAATGTACTTATAGCTCTTTTCTTCCATGATGCCCAGGTCAACCTACAAGTCAAGACAAACCTCCTATGAGGAGAAATGGTTTACTGGAGCCAAAGGGAAGATGATCACTTGGGAACAAAAATTCTAGTTACTGTTACTCAAAAATATTGCTTCAGGATTTTATAAAACTGTGGCTATATTTGTAGCTTTAAATCATGGGGGGGTGGTGCTAAAAATTACTTGTTAGTCACTTGTTAGGAATTATGGTGCTGGCAAAGGTTAAGCTGTCTTGTAAAAAAAAGAGTTGGGTGTGGTCTCAGTCTCTGAGTAGTTTGGGTCTATTCTATCAAAGGTCAGTAGAAGTTAACAAACAATATTTGGTCCACTCTGATGACTAACTCTCATCGGGGGATGGGCATGCCTGCAGCCCACATCAAAGGTTTAGCTCTGGATGTGTCTGAGATCAGATTTAATTATGCCTCCCAACTCCATTTTAAGTATTCTAAACCAATGCTATTACATTTTGATTTCTTCCTTGACACACATGTCCAAATTCTATTCTGTATATCACACTATATGCTCTAATATGCTAAATTATCTCCCTAACTAGTTAGCTAGTTATATATATCCTTTTATTCTTCTATCTATAGTTGAAAGGACATAAAAATAACACAATCATTTAACTTTCTCCTTCCACTTCCCTTTTTTTTGGTGATGTCTGAGGTCAAACTGATATTGGTATTGTACTTATTCTCTTTTCATTATCTGAAAATGTGGACCTGATGTTCACATTCAGATTGAACTGGCACTAGATTGATATAAAGCACCACGGTTAATTCACAGGTAAATAAAAAATGAACTGTTGACATTTCAGGGTGGTACTTTTCCTGGAAGCCTCAGTTCTCTGATGGATCCAAGAAGTCACTGATTTTCAGTGTATTTAATATTTTCTTATTATAGGACAAAAATGATGATTTTCAAAGTTTATTCACATTGAAGCTAAAAACCATATGTTTCTGTACATATGATTTAAATAGTCTATATTTTCTTCTCCTAAGAGTAGTTTTAGCTCTTACATTTAGGTCCATTTTGAATTAATTTGGTTAATGGTGTAAGTACTGTTTCCAACTTTATTCTTTTGTATGTAGAAATCCAGTTTTCCCCAGTACTTTTTATTAAAGACTATTTTTTCCTCACCAAATTGTCTTGGTACCTTTGTTGAAAATTCAGTGATAATAAATATATGTTTATTTCTATATTCCTGTTATGGTTTGCATATGAAGGGTTCTCCCAAAGTTCCTGTTATGCAGGAATGTTTGGAGATAAAATGATTAAATTGTGAGAGCTGCAACCTATTCAGTCATTCTAGTTTGATTGGAGTGATTCAGTGGTAACAAGGCAGGTAGAGGTAGCTGGAGGAGGTGGGTAACTGTGGATGTACCCTGAAAGGATTTATCTTCCCTGTATCCCCTTCTTCCTCTCTGCTTCCTGGCTGCCATGAATAGAGAAGAGCTAATTCACCACGTCCTTCTATCAAGACCTTCTACCTCATCTTGGCCCAGGGCAATGGAGTCAGCCCACCACAGACTGAACCTCTGACATTGTGAGCAAGAATAAACTTTCCCTCTTCTAAGTAGTTCTTGTTGGGTATTTTGGTCACAAGTGATGTAAAACTGACTAACACAATTCTCAAGTCTCTTTCACTGATCTACATGTCTACCCTGTGCCAGTAACACACTGTCTTGATATCTATGGCTTGCTAGCAAGTTTTATAATCAGGAAGTATTAGTTCTTGAACTATGTTGTTCTTTTTTTTTTAAATTAATTCTGGGCCCCTTGCACTTCCATATCAATTTCAGGTTGACTTTGTTAGTTTCTGTACAGAAGGTAACTAAGATTTTTTTTCCTTTTTAATTTGTTTTAGTTAGTTATGCATGATAGTAGAATGCATTTATGCACTTTGATATAACATACATAGATGGGATATAATTTCTCATTTTTCTAAGTGTACATGTTATAGAATCATATTGGGCATGCAGTCACATATATAAAGTAATAATATCTGTTTTGTTCTACTATCTTTCCTATCCCCACATCTCCTCCCCTCCCCTCCCTTCACTTTCCTCTACCTAATCTAAGGTAACACTATTCTTTAGTACCCCCTGCCTTATTGTGAATTAGCATCTGCATATCAGAGAAAATATTTGGCCTTTGGTTTTTTGGGATTGGCTTATTTCTCTTAGCATGATATCCTCCAACTCTACCATTTACTGGCAAATGCCATAATTTCATTCTTCTTTAAAGCTGAGTAATATTACATTGAATATATATTATATATATATATACCACATTTTCTTTATCCATTCATCTACTGAAGGATACCTAGGTTGGTTCCATAGTTTAGCTATTGTGAATTGAGCTGCTATAAACATTGACATGGCTGCATTACTGTAGTATGCTGATTTTAAGTCCTCTGAGTATAAACAAAGGAGTGGGATAGCTGTGTCAAATGGTAGTTCCATTCCTAGTTTTCTGAGGAATCCCTATACAGCTTTCTATAGTGGTTGCACCAATTTGCAGTCCCACCAGCAACATATATGAGTGTACCTTTTTCCCCCACATCCTCACCACATTTATTGTTGACTGTATTCTTGATGATTGCCATTCTGACAGGAGTGAGAGAAAATCTTAATTTTGATTTGCATTTCTCTAATTGCTAGAGATGTTGAACACTTTTTAATGTATTTGTTGATCAACTGTATTTCTTCTTCTGTGAAGTGTCTGTTCGGTTCCTTAGCCCATTTATTGATTGAGTTATTTGTGTTTTTTAGTGTTAAGTTTTTTGAGTTCTTTATACATCCTAGAAATTAGTGCTTTATCGGAGGTGCATGTGGTAAAGATTTCTCCCAATATGTAGGCTCTCTCCTCACATTATTGTTTCCTTTGAGGAAAAGAAGTTTTTAAATTTGAATCCATCCCATTTAGTGATTCTTGATTTTACTTCTTGTGCATTAGGAGTCTTGTTGAGGGGTTCAGTTCTTAAGCTGAAATGATGAAGAGAGTTGGGCCTACTTTTTTCTTCTATTAGGTGCAGGGTCTCTGTTCTAGTGCCTAAGTCTTTGATCCACTTTGAGTTGATTTTGTGCAGGATGAGAAATAAAGGTTTAATTTTATTTTACTACATATGAATTTCCAATTTTGCCAGCACCATTTGTTGAATAGGCTATATTTTCTCCAGTGAATGTTTTTGGTACCTTTGTCTAGTGTGAGATAACTGTATTTATGTGGTTTTATCTCTGTATCCTCTATTCTGTACCATTGGTCTAGAAGTCTATTTGGTGCCAATTACCATGCTGTTTTTGTTACTATAGCTATATAGTATAATTTTGTGATTCCTCTTGCTTTACTTTTCTTGCTAAGGATTGCTTTAGCTATTCTGGGTCTCTTATTTTTCCAAATAAATTTTATGATTGCTTTTTCTATTTCTATGAAGAATGTCATTGGGATTTTAATAGGAATTGCATTAAATCTGTATAATGCTTTTGGTAGTATGGCCATTTTGACAATATTAATTCTGCCTATCCAGGAGCATGGGAGATCTTTCCATCTTCTGAGGTTTTCTTCAATCCTTTCTTTAATGCTCTGTGTAACTAAGATTTTGATAGGGATTGTACATTATTTGTCAATTGGGGAATACTGACACCTTAATAGTATTACATTTTCTTATCCATGAACACTGAGGTGTCTTATCATTTACTTAGATTTTTAATATATTTTTATAAAAGAAAAATTCTGAGATGTCCTAAATTTAATTGCAAAGGATTCAGGATGCAGTAGGGGAGAGATAAATAAAATTAATCAGGATACCAACAAAAAGACTATTTCATATTCTCCTATGTTGAAGCATTGACTTAAATCCTAACATGCAAGTTTATGCATATAAATACAGAAAAGGGTCCCAAATAAATATCCTAAAATGAGATTTTTTACTTTCTTTCTCTTATCTATTTTTTTTTTTTTTTGCAGGGGGCGGGGAAGGGCAGGTACCAGGGAATGAACTCAGGGGAACTCAACCACTGAGACACATCCCCAGCCCTATTTTGTATCTTCTTTAGAGACAGGGTCTCACTGAGTTGCTTAGTGCTTCACTATTCCTGAGGCTGGCTTTGAACTCACAATCCTCCTTTCTCAGCCTCCATAGCCGCTGGGATTACAGGTGTGTGCCATTGTGCCTAGCTCTTTCACTTATCTTTATTTCTACTTTAAAAAATATTTTTAATACCTTATTTATTTATTTGTTTTTATGCTGTGCTGAGGATTGAAACCAGTGCCTCATCCCTGCTAGGCAAGTGTTCTACTTTTTGATATCACATTTTTTAAAAAGCATATATAAAAGTTACACATAAAAAGCTGAATTGTATGACTGCTAAATACTAGAAAGAATAAAGTTGAAGTGAATTAACTATATTAATTATAATAGACTTAATTCTCTCCTTGGTGTCCTTGGTGTGGTTTTTATCTCCAATTCTACTTTTAAATTAATTTGCTGTTTCCAATGGATATATGGATATGGAATATAGATATTATATGAGTATTGTATATACATATATGCAATGCATATTTTACTTAGGTTACTTAAAATCCTTTTTGGAAATAGGTATGGTGTATATATTTATAATACATTAATAGATATACACATACAATTAAGCAATTATTTTGGATAAAATTAAGTATTACTTATATTTTTTCCCCAAAGAACCACAATTAAAGGTAATACAATAGAAATTAAGAAAAAAATACCAGAGATGCTAGAGTATCAGTTAATGATTCACATCAGACAGTGGCTTGTAGCAGAAGCAAATAACAGTCTATTAATTTAATTTCTCTCCTGAGAGCAACCTCTATGATCTCAGGAAGAATATGGTTTTTAAAACATGAAATCCCTCTATATTCTTTGGGGAAAACCTTTCAAAACCTTGGGCTATCCCTCAAACATCTCTGTCTTCTCATGTAACTGACCACTGCTCTGTCTGCTCCCTAGGGACCTGTACAAAATCCTGCCATTGCACCTGTAACCTGTGCTTGTTTACTTGTTTTTCTTCTCTGATTAAAAGATGAGCTCCTGCAGGAAAGAAATGGTATCCTATTCTTCTTAATACCTCTAGCACCAAACACGGTCACAACCTCAGAGCTGTGGCACAAAAGTACTGTGTTGAGAAAATGAATCAATCACTTATAGGTGAAGCAGAGCATTACCTTTCACATCAGAATTTGATTCTTTGTGTTTTTGCAGTACATGTTCTCTGCCATAAACCTAATGGAATAGAGAATCAGAAGGAAGACAATACTATATTATAAACATGAAAGTGAGGTATTTTTATTTCCTATATGATTTATGATATGATGGGTTTTTAAAAAACATTTCTCATTTTATTTTTTAGGTTTAAAATGGCCAGAAATATGTCAGAAATCTGAACCTTTTACAATATGACTCTTCTTTTACATCAATGAATAAAATAAAATCTTGTTGTTTTTTTTTTAATGCTAAAGGGAGTTTAGAAAATTTCCACTCTATATAGAACATATATAGTGAGAAAGAGACATAAAAGTGTGGTTATAACATCGCTTATTTAAATTAAATTAGAACCACTGAAATGGATGAAAGTAAACAAAATTATATGAAAATCTATAAACATTGCTAAACTGTGCTTATATACAACAGATGAAGAATAGTTTTTTTAATCTCATAAAGAAGTCCAGAGAAAAGAAGAGCATGAAGAGCTGATACTGCTTTCTATCTTGAAAGGAGGTGCCAGTATGACCCACATGTACTCAAAGAGACTTATACTGAAATTGTGACTGTGATGTTGAGTCTTCAAATCATTATGAGACCATGAAAATATTTTAAATGTTTCCAAATTTTTTCTTTATCTGTATGTTTGGATGTTATAAATAATTTTCAAAAAGTGTTTGAGGAAGAAAGAAGGAATTGAAAACATTTTGCCAACATGTAATGCATATCAACTAGTCAGTCAAAACAGACCACGACATAGAGTTGAAGCCGGACATGTCCCAGCTATTGGGAGGCTGAGGAAGAATGATCACTGGAGTCCAGGAGATGGAGCCCAGCCTGAGCAACTTAGCAAAACCCTGTGTCAAAGATCAGATTATGCTAAGTGAAGCTAGCCAATCCCTAAAAAACAAATGCCAAATGTCTTCTTTGATATAAGGAGAGCAACTAAGAACAGAACAAGGAGGAAGAGCATGAGAAAAAGATTAACATTAAACAGGGACGAGAGGTGGGAGGGAAAGGGAGAGAGAAGGGAAATTGCATGGAAATGGAAGGAGACCCTCATTGTTATACAAAATTACATATAAGAAGAAGTGAGGGGAAAGGGAAAAAAAACAAGGGAGAGAATGAATTACAGTAGATGGGGTAGAGAGAGAAGATGGGAGGGGAGGGGGGAGGGGGGATAGTAGAGGATAGGAAGGGCAGCAGAATACAACAGACACTAGTATGGCACTATGTAAAAATGTGGATGTGTAACTGATGTGATTCTGCAATCTGTAAACAGGGTAAAAATGGGAGTTCATAACCCACTTGAATCAAATGTATGAAATAAGATATGTCAAGAGCTTTGTAATGTTTTAAACAACCAATAATAATAAAAAAAAGTATTGTGGTCGTCAAGGCCAACAAGTACCAGACCAAAAGATAAAAAAATTAAAAAAATAAAATAAAAAACTTAAAAAAAAAACCACAAGCAAAAACCCCACAAAACAAACAAAAACATAAAATAGAGTTAAAATCTAAAGTCAACTTCTTTGTTGATATAATTTATGACTGCCAGCAAAACCAAAAATTGACACTAAATAGAAATGAGTAAAAATGTAAAAACCAAAACCTAATTATTAAGAGGGGAAAAAATTATATATTCTAGAGAAAAATCACTCAAAAATTAGCAATATTATGTAATTGTTAGAATTTGGTGAAACAAGTGGTAAAGTCTGGCTAATGAGAATTCACTTGTAATAAGACTTCATTCAGTGAACTCTTGGTGTCATTTTTAAACCTCTTTCTCTTTTTTTTAAAATAATTTTTTAGTTGTCAATGGATTTGTTTATTTTATTCATTTATATGTGGTGCTGAGGATCAAAGCCAGGGCCTCATACATGCTCTACCACTGAGCCACACAGCTCCAGCCCTAAACCTCATCTCTTTAGAGAAATGATGGTGCAAGCCATAATAAACTATTATACTCACCCTACAGAAAAATATCACTAGGCCAGTGATCCTTGAAACATAACCTTTGATTCTTAACCATAGTCATTTATAATGATTTTTGCTGAAACTTTTCAAAATCAATGACTGAAAGTATCTTGGTAGAAAATAAAGTTAACTACAGTACTTAAAAAATAACTTACTAATATTATTTTAGGAATATATTGATGTTCTTATGAGCAAACAATTAAGAAATAGTAAGCTCAGAATCATGGATTACATTGAATTCCAGTCATTTACCTCAGTTAAAAATTGTTCACTCTTTTTGTCAATGATAACTAGAAAAGAAATTCCAGGTAGTGACTAATGAACTCCTATTATATCATGGGCAAATTTAGAATGGTCTGCAACTTTCTAAAAGTATTTGGCCAAATGATAATTATTTTCCATCTGAAAATATTCAACATTAAATATAGATTATGATTTCAAAACAGTTTTTAAAAGCTCCAATCAAAAAATAAATCAAATACATGCGCATTCAATATAAAGCAGTATATCATATTTTGCATTAAATATAACTTGGATAAATGAGAAAAACCACTATGTGGCCGTGTTTATGAGAACTAAATAAATATCCTTGGGATATTACACATACCTGCAAATAACACAGAACAATTACAGGGTTTGTTTACCAAAGAATTTTAAAATTTTACTCAAACAGCATTCTTGAAATAATGTAATTCTAGAATTTAGAATAGATTGATGGTCTCCAGGTGTTTTGTTTTGGATTTGGAATGTTCAACAAAGTCTCATGTTGGAAGCATGGTTCTCAACACAGCAAGGTTCAGAAGTGGGGCTTAGAGGCAATGATTGGTTCTGACCTCATCAGTTGATTAATCCATTTAATAGCTGAATGGACTATTGGGAAGTGAGACCTAGCTGGAGTAAGCAGGTTACTCAGGGTGGCCCTGGAAAGGTTTATTTTGTCCTCCCACCACCATGTCCCAGCTTTCTTCCACCATGCCCTCTGCCATCACGGTGTCTTACCTCAGGCCCAGAGCAAGGCGCCAGCTGACCATGGACTGAAACCTCTGAAACTGTGAGCTGAAAGAAATTTTTCCTATTTTATATGTTGTTTCTGTTAGGTATTTTGGCCCCAGTGTCAAAAAGCTAACATACTGGGAGTTAAAATTATGTGGAAAGGGAACAAGGATGGCTATAAAGTAGTGGCATGAGGGAGCCTTGTGGTGATGGAAAATTCTGTATCTTGAATGTGGTTATAGTTGCAGCATAAATGTGATAAAATTACATAAAACTGTACGCATATGTACACATATGGACATGCATTGGTGCACAAATGAATGCTCACATATAAGATTTGTGGACAGTATCAGTGTCCGTTTCATGGTGTCCAGTAGATTTATGGCAGATGCTAACACTGGGTGAGGAAAAATGTTAAGGTTTGGATATGAGGTGTTCCCCCAAAGCGTCTGTTAATGCAGGAATATTTGGAGGTAGAATGATTGGATTACATGAGCTGTAACCTAATAGGTGCATCCTGGTTGGAATAGACTGACAGGTGGTAACTGTAGGGAGGGGGGCATGGCTGCAGAAGGCGGTGTTGTTCTTCCTGGCTGTCTATTCTCCAAGTCAGTTTAGCTCACAACTGCAATGAATTCACCAATCTTCTCTCAATTGCTTTCTACCATATTTCTTCTGGTTTTCAGAATGTCCTTAAGTTTGAACCCTAAGCTATGTTGCATTTGAAGCCAATTCTTTTGGGAAGAGATTAGGAAGCTATCTGTTTTTTGGCCTGGTTCTTCTACCTAAGCAAAAATGTTCAAGCCTTGGATATGAGACTGGGGGTAGAGACAATGGCAGTCTTCTGACTACTACCACTGCTTTAGGAGCTGCACAGTAGGAGACAGGCCTCTCTACTTGTTTTTCTCTAATATGGTACCACCACTTTACAAGCCAAGGCAAGGTGATCAGGGTCTAAGTATCCTGAGTGGTGTAGCACTCAAGGTAAAACCTCCATCCCCTGAATAGGGTCTGGGTAGAAGGGAGCTCCCACCTTTTGTTTGTAATTACCTGGAACTTAGCTCAGCAATAGGTAGCTGGAGGCAGGATAAAAATACTGACATCCTGCCTGTCTTGGGAAAGCAGCCTTCTAATGGCTGTGGGAAAAAAGGGTACAATTTCCTTGGCTGAGCTAGTCTGTCTTATTGAGCTGAGAGATGGGGAAGGAAGGACTCTGAATTAAAATATGGGAGGCTTTTGCTGTTTTCAATGGATTTGAATAATTTCCTTAAATAGTTTTTTGTGTTTGCATTCGTTGAACCATTCCAGATACTTGTTCCTTCTTTCTTTCGTAGAATTTGACAATTTTGCTGGTAAATGGGTTTGTTGAGCTCCTTATACTGTCACATAGAAGTCAATATTTTAGCACTATTTTTCCCCTTATATTTCCATTTAGTTTTTCTTAGTTTTAATTTTTTCTTCTTGCTGTCATGGATGCATCTTGCAAACTTCCTCAAATATTTTTAGAGTTAGGTAAATAAATACAAAATTTAAATATGGCACCTTAATAATTCCTGCCTTTCATCTGCCAAGGATGAGCAAAATTTTAATCATCAACCTTCCTGGTATAAAATTGTGGTATAAGAAGCATAAGAGAAAATAACTTGCCATTCTCTTGCATTCATTTAAAAAAAAAAACAAAACTTCTTAACAACCACATTAATAAAGTCTTACCTCTTCTCTGGCACTCTGGTAGCTTGCCATGGTAGAATTCCTTTCCTTCTTTGTTTTCAGACATTTTTTCTTGGTTTTTATCTAAAAAAAATATTCATATTAAAATCAGTATATAATCAACATATCAACAACCGTATACATACAGACATAAAACTATCTTAAGACTTACTTCCTAGAAGAAGGAGAAGTCCTGACCCTTTTCCTCCTACGAAGTACAACTGATTACCCTAAATATCCAAAAGGTGAACTCTGGAATGTTGGATTGTTGGAAATAACAATTATTCCTCTATAATAGGAATACATATTCCCCAATCTTTACCCTGTAAGTTTGTGGCATCTCCCACTATAGATGGAGTATACTTCACTAATCTGTTGATGTTGGGCCTCGTTATACGACATAATGGTTAATGGAATGTTAGTGAATATGCTATCAGGTGTGGTTGTAATATGATACATGGTTGCCAGGAGAAAATGTAGTTATAAACAGGTTTATATTGATTGGTTCCCACTTACTGGGTTTTCACCAATGGATTTTTCCTTGCATAATCTCTGATCAAAGGAAAATGAAAAACATGAAATGTCACTGGACTCAACCTGAAGCTAAGACCAGTTGACCCTATCCAAGTCTAGTGGAGCCAACCGACAGACCCATCAGTGAAAAGTAAGTTTATTTTAAGTCACTGAAATTTTGAAGTTGTTTGCCATGCAGAAAGTGGCTAATTTACATACTATCTGCTTGTTTGCTCTCTCACTTCCTTAATCACTTCTTTTGGAGGTAACCCCCTCCACAACTGCAATCTCCACCTAAACTCCTTATTATTCTTCTTTCTGTAATTTCCACCTCAGGGACTAATCCCCGTATAACATGATTTTTATATATATATATATATATGATAAATATATATATATATATATATGAGAGAGAGAGAGAGAGAGAGAGAGAGAGAATTTGTAATATTTATTTTTTAGTTCTCGGCGGACACAACATCTTTGTTGGTATGTGGTGCTGAGGATTGAACCCGGGCCACATGCATGCCAGGCGAGCGCGCTACCGCTTGAGCCACATCCCCAGCCCCATATATTTTACTTATTTATCTTGTTTATTGTGTGTCTCTTCCAACCTGAATATAAAATAACAAAGGGAAAGATTTTTGTCTCATTTGTTCCCTGCTTTATCCCCACACATAGACAGTGCCTGGTGCTACAACTCTGTAGTTGGAGCACAATATGCAGTTGAGTAATCAATGTGTAAATAAATATTGGGCTCGTAATCAGGTGATATATGCAGGCTGTCACCTCTTTAAATAAAAAGTGGTGTGGTTTTGAGAAGTAATTTAATCTCTCTAGATCTTAACCATAATTATCTATGAAGGGCATGAGGAAAAGAACTCTGAAGTTAAAAAATTCTATTACTGGCCTAGATTTATCTATCTATTCAGATAAAATTTTCTCATATTTAGGTTTTTGAAACACATTTTCCCCCTAGCAGTTATAAAAAGAATTTGTTTTATTTGAAAAACTGCATATTTGCACTTGCAATTTAAGCCTCAATAATAGCTCAGCAGTAGAATGCTTGCCTCGTGCATGTAAGGCACTGGGTTCGATTCTCAGCACCACATAAAAATAAATAAAGTAAAGATATTATGTCCATCCTTTTAAAAATTTCTATTATTTAAAGATATGCATATAATAAGAAAAAATGTTATTATGTAATAATTATATAACTGCAAAAATTTTCCTGTTAACCACAATAAGAAGAGTAACCTAAATAGCATATCTGTATTTTAAGCAAAAAATTTTAATTATACCTGAGAGGTTACCTTCAGAAGATATGTCTGAGAGTCATTGGATTCCGAACTGTCAGAGCCTCGGCTACTACAAAAATAATAATTTTAGTTTATAGAATATTCTGGTGACATTTTAAATTTTCCATTGTTTCTGGATACAGTGATACATGCTTATAGTCCCAGATACTAGGGAGGCTGAGGCTGAGGAATTCCAAGTTCAAGGCGAACCTGGATAACTTACCAAGACTTGTCCAAAAAAAAAAAAAATGTGGGGAGTTGTGGGGGCTGGGGATGTAGCTCAGTGATTGAGCGCTTGCTAGTGGTGAGAAACTAGATGCTTTTGTGCAAAGACTGAGAAGACAACAGGCAGGGCCCCTCTCAGCACTTCTATTCAATACTAAACTGAAAGTCCTAGCTAACGCAGTAAGACAAGAGAAGTAGATAAATACTTAGATTGGTAAATAAGAAGCAGAACTTTCTGGATTGCATCTTAGAAATAGATATATATATATATGTACATTTCATTTCATATATATAAAGTAAGGTAAATACATACATATGTTTTAAAGCATGTTGTTATTACTTATTATTTAAATTTGCTCTTTCTGGCTAAGTAATTGCATAGCTAGTTTATCATATTTACAGCAGTATCTGAATGAATGTGCACTAGAAAATATTTTGTCATTAAGCAGGATAACTTTCAAAGCTTGTTTTTGCTTTACTATTTCCTAACCTAATTATAAAATATTATCTGTTCTAGTACCACTAAATATTGTACTTTATAAAGAAATAATTTCCATTATAAATCAAATGCATCAATACTTTTTTTTGGTACCAGGGATTGAACCCAGGGGCGCTTAACTACTGAGATACATCCCCAGCCCTTTTTTGTATTTTATTCAGAGACAGGGTCTCACTAGTTGCTTAGGGCCTTGCTAAATTGCTGAAGCTGGCTCAGTACTCACAATCCTCCCGCCTCAGCCTCCTGAGTCACTGGGATTACAGGCATGTGCCACCACACCCAGAGTATCAATACTTTTAAATAAAAGAATTTTCTCTATTTAGGTTTTTGAAACACATTTTTCCCCAGCAGTTATAAAAAGAATTTGTTTTATCTGAAAAACTGCATATCTGCACTTGCAATTTAAGACTCAATGGATTTTATTTATTTTACTTTGTTTCTCACGTCCAGTTATAAACTTTCTTCAGGTACTTATGTTTATTTTCTCTTTTTAAAAATGTTCAATTATTCTTTTTATTAGAGTTAAGGTCTGCTTCACATGTTTTTGCCTACCACTACTATTATGGTCTTGCTTCCTTAAACACAGATTGGATTTATGCTTTCTGTATGCTAAATAATTCAGTTTCCTTTTAAAATATTTTCATTTCTCCAGAAAAATTATGTTGAAGTTTTCATGTTCCCTTTGAAAAGGGGGATACATTCATAAGTAGCACATGTCATATTTCTGGACATGCAAGAATGAAACTTTCTTTTTTCCTTTTTTTGGTAATGGGATTGAACCCACGGGTGCTTAACCACTGGGCAACATCTCCAACCCTTCTTTATACTTTATTTAAAGACAGGGTCTCACTGAATTGCTAAGTGCCTCACTAAGTTGCAGAGGCTGGCTTTGAATTTATAATCCTCCTGCCTCAGCCTCTCGAGTCACTGGGATTATAGGTGTGTGCCACTGCAAACTGGCTAAGCTTTCTTTATTGTCAGATTTTACAAAGTTTATAAAAAGAAATAATTAGTATAGAATAATTCTATAAACTCAAAAAACCATTCTACAAACTCCTGTAGATAAGCATATTTACACTAGAAAAGCAAGGTAATTCTCAACTACCCAAAGTCCTGAATCTCTTAAAAAAGCTATTCCAGACATATAACACATGCTAAAACATATTACTTATATGGTATTTTATAGTACTATGCTATAAAATTTTTTATACATTATCTTATTTGATCTCACCTCTTATCCTTATTTAGAAGCAATTTAAAAGTAGGCAGTTTTCAAATGTCCCATCAATAGAGGACAGAGTAAATTACAGTAGAGCTATACTGTGAAGTCCCATGCATCAGGAATAAATATCCTGATTTCTAGGATATAATAAGTGTAAAAAGCAAGATACAGGAAAAAGCTTGTACAGGTAGTGTGTTATCTTTTATATAAAGGTATAGGGATAGGAAAAATACATAAATATTTATTCATATTTTCAAAATAAAACAATGAAAGGATAAGTAAAGTAAACTTAGGAAAATTGGATTGTCTTATGTAAATATTATATAATTAAAAAAATTAATCAAAAGGAGAAAATCATTTCTAAAAATTTTTTTAAAAGGCACTTAACTATATGTCAAATTGGTGGCATAATCATATAGAGAAAAAAATATATTTTTTCTTTTATTTTTGATACCAGCAATTGAACCCAGAAGTACTTAACTACTGAGCCACATCCTCAGCCCTTTTTCATATATATATATATATTTTTTTTCTTTGTGGTGCTGGGGATTGAACCCAGAGCCTTGTTCATGTGAGGCAAGCACACTACCAACTGAGCTATATCCCCAGCCCATATATTTTATTTATAGACAGGGTTTCACTGAGTTGCTTAGTGCCTTGCTAAGTTGCTGATAATGGATTTAAACTTGCCATCCTCCTGCCTCAGCCTCCTGAGCCATTGGGATTATAGGCATGCACCACTGTGCCCAGCCATTTTTCTTTTTTAATGATTTAAAGTAGTATTTTGGCTGCATATCCCAAGTGATATGTATATGATATACTAATACTATATAATATATAGTTTATATAGTATATATACATTAAGTCTAAAAAGAATTACGAAGAAATATAAAACTATATCATATTCATTTTACTGGGTATTTTTATTGGTATATTGTAGGATAAAGTAAGTAAATATCTGCACTAATAGAAAAATTTTAGCATTAGAGAAATGAGGTACAAGCATAAAATCAAGGAAGACTAAATCTTACAATCTTAAATTTCTTGCTAGAAATATAACTATAAGCTCATGATTTTTTCTCTCTTAAAAATAACCATTTCCACAAGGTGTAGTGGTGCACATCTGTAATCCCAGGGGCTTGGGAGGCTGAGGCAGGAGGATTGCAAGTTCAAAGCCAGCCTTAGCAATTTAGTGAGGCCCTAAGCAACTTAGGGAGACCCTGACTCAAAATAAAAATAAAAAGGACTGGGGATGTGACTCAGTTGGCTAAGCACCCCTGGGTTCAATCTCTGGTACAATAAATAAATAAACCAAAAAACTATTTCCTAACTCAAACCTTTGAAAAATACCTATAGCAATAATAACCACTATCTATGTATGTTATCTAAATAATATTTATCATTAAAAGGAATCAAAATTTCTTGGAGAAATGGTACATACCAGTTGTAGGGCAGAGAATGAGACTAAAAATCTTATGATGACTATCAGTCATGTCAAAAAGACACAGGTCAACTTAAAGGATCTTCTATTGACCAGATTTGGGGAAATTTGACATTAGAATGATAATGACTGAAAATGATTAGAACCTGTCAAATATAAACAAATCCATGAGTTCAAAATGATAATACCTGCAAACAAATGTATTGGTTACCAGTAGAAGTTTCAGAATTTGAAAATGTAGAAATATGAAGAAATACAAAGAAATAAAAAAGTGTTTTATCTTTCCTAAAGAAACTGTTCTGAAATTAATGCTTTCCTTCTTCCAATAATATTCCTTAGCTTTGAATTTTGTACTTTTTTATTCACTAATATTATAGCCCTCTTATGTCATCTCTATAACAGTGTCAGTTCTCCATGGGTAATAATAGCACTAAAAAGAATCTGGAGAGAGGAAAGACCACACTATAAGACTAACAGAAAACAATGAACAAAATTTCAACAGTAAATCCTTCCCTATCAATAATTAAAATGTAAATGGGTTAAACTCCCCCAGTCAAAGGATACAGAGTGACTGAATGAATTTAAAAATAATACCCAACTACATGCTGTCTACAAAAATTCCCTTTAGATTTAAGGACGCACATAGGCTGAAAGTAAAGACATACAAAAGAGATATCCTATACAAATAGTAACCAAACGGAATGGGGGTAGCTATACTTACATTAGACAAAGTAGACTTTAGGTCAAAAACTATCACGAGATGATTGAAATGATATTTTGTTTTTTATTTCATTTCCCTGGTTAATAGCGAGGTTGAGTATCTTTTAATATATTATTTTAAAATTTTTCTCCTTTGTGAATTATCAGTTCATCTATTTTATAATTTTCCATTTGTTGTTTATCTTTTACTTTGTGTATGTAGCAATCATTTCTTGTTTATATATATATATATATATATATATATACACACACACACACATTCTTTTAATTTCTGTCTAGCCTACTAACATTATACTATTTTATTGTAAAGACATTAAAATTTTAACATACCTAAAAATGATTACAAAAAAACAAAGAACATTATATAATTATAAAAGAGTTAATCTATCAGGAAGATATGATGGATACACAGATATCCTTCAAAACTTGTGTGTATAAACATATACACTTAATATCAGAGTACTTAAATATATAGATTATATAAATATATAAATAATATAAAATATAAATATATAAAAGCAACATGACATAACTAGAGGGAGAAATATATAGCAATATAATAATAGTAGGAGGCTTTAATATCTCACTTTTAATAATGGATAGAACAACCAAACAGAAGATCAATAAGGAAATAGAGGACTTGAATGATAGTACAGACCAAATGGATATAATAGATATACACAGAACAGTTGAATATACATCTTCTCAAGTGCACAAGAACTTTCTCCATAACAGATCATATTAAATCATAAAACAAGTCTTAACAAATTTAAGAAGACTGAAATCATACCAAGTGTCATGCTGATCACAATGGAATGGAATATTAATCAACAGCAGAAGAAAAACTGAAATATTCACAAATAAATAGAAATTAAATGGTACACCCTTGGATGATCATTGGTTCAAAGAAAAAGTCAAAAAGGAATTAAAAACATACCTAAAGAAAAGCAAAATTGAAAACACAACATACCAATATTTATGGGATATAGCAAAAGCAGAACTGGGGGAAATTATTGTGACAAACAATCGCGATAATGATCTCAATTAAACAACCTAACTTTACATTTAACCCATTTACTATCTAGTAAAAGAACAAAGATGGAGGCATCATTCTTCCTGATTTCAAATTATATTAAAATAAAGCTACAGACATGTAGACCACTGGAATAGAATCTAGAGATCCAAAATAAATTTGCCCATATATGATAAACTGATAGTCAACAAGGGCATCAAGGATATACAAGGGAGAAAGAATAGTTTCTTTAACAAATAATGCTGGGAAAACTGGATAATCACATGCAGAAGAATGAAAGGGGACCGACCCTTCCATTTTCAAAAGATAGTATTCGGCCTTAACTGGATCCAATTGTAGTGGCCTTTCCCTTTTGCCAGCCCTAAGAGGGGTTTACAAAAAAAAAAAAAAATCCAATCACCAAAATGGGCAAAATACTTGAATAAACATTTCAACAAGGAAGACAAAGAAATAGCCAACAAGGGGGCTGGGATTGTGACTCAGCGGTAGAGCACTAGCCTAGCACGCCCAAGGCCCTGGGTTCCATCCTCAGCATCACATACAAATAAATAAATAAAATAAAGGCATTGTGTCCAACTACAACTAAAAATAAGTACTAAAAAATAAAAGAGAGAAATGGCCAACAAGCATATGAAAAGTACTCAGGTATTCAGGGAAATGAAAATAAAGACCACAAAGAAATTTTACCTCCTACCTGTTAGGATAGCCATTATTAAAGAAACAAAAGACAACAACTGTTGGTGGAGATGTAGAGAAATCAGAACCCTTGCACTCTGTTAGTGGGAACGCAAAATGGTTCAGCTGCTATTGAAAATAGTACGGAGATTCCTCACATAACTAGAAATAGAACTACCATATAATTTAAAAATCTACTTCTGGGTGCTTATCTGAAAGAATTGAAATCCAGAGCCTGAAGAGAGATCAGTACTCCCACGTTTAGTGCAGTACTATTCATAATAGCCAAGATGTGGAAACAACTCAAATATTTATCAAAAGATGAATGGACAAGTAAAATGTGGTATGTAATACAGTGGAATTCTGCCCAGCTTTAAAAAAGAAGGAAATACTCCTATAGGTTACAATATGAATGAACCCTGTGGACATTATGCTAAGTGAAATGTCAGTCACAGAAACACAAATCTGAATGATTCCACTACTGTGGAGTATGTAAAATAGTCAAATTAATATAATTAAAGAATGGAATGATGGTTACCAGGAACTGAAGTAGGAGAAATGGGAATTACCAACTGATATAAAAGTTAAGAAAGTTGAATAAACTGCAGAGCTCTGCTGTACAGCATTTACTAATAGTCATTTAGCATATGCTTAAAGTTATAAGGGTAGATCTCTTTTTAATTGTTTTTACCATATTAAAGATAAAAATAAAAAGAAAGCAATCTACTCCAATTCTGAAAGGAAAAAACCCTAAACATACTCTTACATTGACATTCATGCTCTCTGTTATCCACCCAAAGGATATAAAAACTTACATACACAGAAAAACCTGCACATGGATGTTTATAGCTGCTTTATTCATAATTGCCCAAACTGGGAAGCAAACAAGATGTCCTTCAGTAGGTGAGTGGGTAAAGTGTGGTATATTCAGATAATAAAATATTTTGAGTGCTAATGAGCTATTATGCCATGAAAAGATATGAATGAAACTTAAATGCATATTACAAATTGAAAGAAGCCAGTGAAAAGGCTGTATACTGTATAATTCCAACTAAAGGACATTCTAAAAAAGACAAAATTATAGAGAGAATTTAAAAGATCTGAGGTTTCCAGGAGTTAGGGGTGAGAGCAGGAAAGGGTAGGTGAATTCTGGAGTGAACCCATACAGTGAAAATACTCTGTATGATACTTTAATGGTGGATATGTGTTGCTATAAATTTGTCCAAACATATAGAATATATAACACCCAAAGTGAACCCCCGTTAACTACGGACTTTGGACAATAAGGATGTATCAATGTAAACTCATCATTGATAACATATATACCACTTTGGTGGGGGATGTTGGTGATGGGGAAGGCTATGCATGTGTAGTGGTAGAGGATATTCTGAAAATCTGTACTTTCTACTCAATTTTGCTGTGAACATAAAATGTTTTAACAAAGTCTAAAAGAGAGAAAGCAAACAAAACAATTTGGTATGTCTTTCACATAAAGTACACTGGGCATAGCAATGGAATAAAAGAATAATTCAACTGAAGTCTTGATGTGGTCTGGTCAAAATCAGGTGCGCTGAAAAATTTGCCCCCTTCTTATAGCTGAAATTTTCAGTGTGGAATTGACAATAATATCCCAGTATTATTATAAAGAACATGGTAAAATACAACAAATTACATTAGTTCAAATTACATTAGTTGACTTACCTCGACTCTAGATCCAATGTAATTTCTATTAGAGAAGAATCTGAATCATCACAGACTTTTTCCAAACTCATACGTTTTTCCATTTCTTCTAATTCTTTCAGGCACTGATAATACTAGAGAAAAATTATAAATGAGTTCACTATGAAATAATTTTGCTTCATGCTGGGTGCAGTGGTACATGCCTATAATCCTGGATACTTGGGAGGCTGAAGAAGGAGAATTGTTAAGTTTGAGGCCAGCCTGGGCAACTTAGCCAAACTTTGCCTCAATATAAAATAAAATATTAAGAAAGGGCTGGGGATGTAGCTCAGTGGTAGAGCACTTGCCTCGCATGTACTGGGTTCAATCCCTAATGCCAAAACTCAATTTTTTTCTTCCTAATCAAACTAATTGAGTATTTATAGACACTTGGAATAATAGTTACTGGGACATTAAATATGACAGACAAACAAACAAACTATAACAAAATTCCCAGACCATGGGTTTAGGACATTAAAAGGAAAAAACTGTTGTAGGTTGACAGGCGGTTGTATTATCTGATAGGCTAGAATCTGATGCTTTATCAAGTGCTCTTGGCTTACCTTGCTCCGATCGGGATCACAATAGTCCAAGAGAGAATCACAAAAATGGTAGCCCATTGACTCCAAGTCTTTTGTGTTGAAATGAGTGCCTCGTTTATTACCTAAAACATCAATAAGTTTATCTACCCTTGAGGATGAGTAAATCATGTTTTTCCTTAGCAAGCAGGTCTAAATGTAAGGGTATGAACAAACATTGATTTGATTCCATATCCTGTCTTTTGGATTTTCCTCTCTGGGACAGGTCATTTAACAGCCTATCACATTAAAGTTAAAAATAAGAGAAAGCAATCTATTCCAATGCTGAAAGGAAAAAATCTAAACTAAACTGTTACTTTTCCTTATTTTAACACAAATTAGTTTATGTTGCAAGGCAGAAGAAAGTTCAGTTAGACACTTATGTAATATTGGTTACCAGTTATAAACAGTATCAGTAGTCATTCTGGAAAAACTTGGGTCAAGATTTTATGAGAGAATGTTTTCATCATCATGAATAATGTTCTATCAGGTTCAAGGTATTTTAAAAATTATCCAGAAATCACATATGTGGATGTCTAGTACTTTCCTTTGAGTGGATACATTGTCTAATAGTGTGAAAAATTATCTTAATCTAGAATATTTTGAACACACATTATGCTAGATGTAACTAAAAGATTTATTAAATGAGACTACAAAGCACATTTTAATTTTTAGTTCAGGGACCCAAGTGTTTCCTTTTAAATATAAATACACACACACACACACACACACACACACACACACACACACACACACCACAGTAGTCTATTTTTGCCTTTCAAAGGGCAAATTCAATAAAAATATTTCTATAATTTTTAAGTATGTTCATTGCTTTGTCTTGAAATAATCAGAACCCCCCTTTAAAAAATATATAGAAATCTTCTTTAAAAAAAAAAAGCATTTGAAGATTAGTTTACAAAACAACCAATTATTCTATGTACAATATGTCAAACATTCCTTTCTAAACAAAGGGAATGAAATAGAAATACCATATAATGGAAATTTATTCATTCCACTTATAGATCAACTACACATCAGCATACATTTAAATGAGAAGAATGTGCTCACTACCAGATCAACTCCACTACTATTAATTTTATGTTGAAAATATATATCTTTGGTTTAATGATCTGGGAGCTGTGAGTGAGAACACTTGGCCTTACCCAAAGTAGATCCACAAAAGGTGGCCTCCATGGTAAAGCTGTTCCTGATTCCCATTTTCCACATTACCACCCTTCCTGTTCCTTCCTTGCTCTTCTGAATATTGAACTTGCAAGCTGGGAATGAAAACTGACAAGCAGCAAAAAAAGAAAAAAGAAGACACATATATTTCTTAGGAAGAAGGGTTAAAAATGAAAAACTAACTGCAAAATCTGCATAGATACACATGTTATTTTCATTACTTCTCCATCCCAGATTGTCTGCTTTTTCTTCCTTTCTATCTCTTGCCTTACATACTGGTTAGCACTTTCAGTGCAAGGTTGTATGGGAGGGTTGAGAATGGATATTCTCTTATCCTTAAGAGAACAATATTATTTTTCACCAAGTATGATGCTGGCTATAGGATTTTTGTAGGTGTCTTTTTATTAAGTTAATAAAAATACACTTTTATTCTTTATTTGCTGAAAGTATTATGAATAGATGCTGAGTTTGTTAAAAGCTTTTTCTATAGCAATGTGTGATAAGCATGTGATATGTTCACACATTTTTTTCTTCTGTAGACTGTTAGCATAATGGATTACATTGGTTAGTTTTCAAATATAAACTAATTTGATATTCTTATGATAAATCCCATTTGGTCAGGATGTATTACGCATCTTATAAATTACTGGATTTAATATGCTAATATTTTGTTAAAAATTTTTGCATCAATGTTCACGAAGCATAAGAGTCTGTATTTTTCTTTTCTTGTATAGCTTTGTCTTGTGTTGGTATCATAGTAATCCTAGAAGAAATTTTCTTTAAATATTTGGTAGAATTCTTTATTGAATCCATCTGGATCTGAGATTTCACTTTTTGTAAAGATTTTTTGGGAGAGGGGGTGGGGGTTGGTGGTTAAGGACCATTCAGATTATCCATTTCACATTGTGTGAGTTTTGGTAGTGTGTTATTTTTCGAGGAGTTGGCTCATTTCATCTAAGTTGTTAAATTTATGTGCAGAGAGTTGAGTTGCCCCTTATTGTCTTAAGTGATACCCTCTTTCATTTGAGTCTTCTCCTCCTCTTCCTCGTCAGGTTCCTCAGTTTTATTGCTCTTCACCAAGCACAAGCTTTCTGTTTTAATGTTTTTCTGCACTGTTTCTTTGTTTCCAATTTCACTAACCTGCTCTTATATTATCTACTTGTTTAGGGCTTATTTTCTTTTCCAGTTTCTTTTTGTAGAAACTTGGATTATTGACTTGAAATCTTTATTTTCCTTTTTAAGTACTGGTATTTTAACTAAATTTCACAAAATGTAACGTCATATATTTTCATTTTCCTTCAGTTTAAATATGTATTTAATTTTCCTTGAGACCTCCCTCTTTGGACTAAGGATTACTTAGAATGTGGTTTAATTTCTATTGTTTGGAAATCTTTTTTTTTCTTTTATTGATTTCTAAATTAATTCCATTATGTCAGATACCATATTTTATATGATTTCAATTATTTCAAACTTGTTAAAGTTTGTTTTAAAACAGGATATAATCTGTACTTTAGCAAATGTTCTACATACATTTGTACATAATGTATATTCTTCTGTTCAGAATGTCCTGTAAATGTCCATTAAAATCAGTTGTTTGATGGTTTTTATGGTTTGGATATAAGGTGTCCCCAGAAAAAGTTCATGTGTTGTGCAGTGCAGGAGTGTTCCGAGGTGAAATGATTAGATTATGAGAGGTGAGTGGACTATTAGGTGGTAGGTATTTGGAGGTAGGAAGCAGATTACTGGGGGCATGACCTTGGGGTTGTGTCTTGTCCCAGGCTTCTCTCTGCTTCCTGGATGTCATGAGCTGAGCAGTTTTCCTCTGCCATGCCCTGCCACCATGATGTTCTGTCTCACTTCAGGCCCAGAGTGATGGGGTCACCTGACCAGTCCTTTTTATTGTTTATTTTGAGACAAGATCTCTCTGAGTTGCTGAGCATGGCTGGAACTTGCTGTCCTTCTGCCTCAATCTCCCGAGTTGCTAGAATCACAGGCATGTGCCACCATACCTGGAAAACCTCTATATTTTAAACAAAATTTATATTACGTGGAAGGCCTGTTTAAACTGTAGACTGGTTGGTTGTATTGCTCAAGAAACCTCATCCATTTTATGTCAGAAAATATGTCAACAGACAAATATTAAAATATCTTAACAAAATGGGATCATTTTATAGGAGTAATAAAATATACCTATGAGTACTGACATGATGCTATATAGGGACAGTTTCAGGTACTGGGGTTGATTTCGCTGATCTTTCTGAAGGAACAAATACTCTTTGGGTAGTAAACCTATGCTTTCTGTAAATAGCTCTTCTACCAGATCATCCTTTCCTTTTTATATCTTTGGGTGCTAATTGTCTCCATAAAATAAAGAGTACTTCCCAATAAGTTCTTTATAGTTGAATTGGTTGGTTGAGAACCTAAAAGGAAGTCTACAGGAACTTTTTTGTTGTTGTTAATCTAAAATCTTTTAAAAATGATTAAAAATTTTTCACATCTTTTGTAACTGAGTAGTTTCAACATTTTTATAGTATGAAAATGAACTCTATTCTTTTCTCATTTTTCTCATTCTAATTTCTCTGTATTTTTGAAATACTGATTACTGATTTTCTTCCTGGTAAAATTCTAATAAATACTATATAATATATAAAAGACAATATTTTGTAGGCTAAAAGCACATCTTTTAACCTACACAATTAGAAACTGAATATATACTAAAACAATAAATAAAGATCCCCAAACTGATGAAAATGGTCAACAGAAGAAGCTTTGTAAAGGCCAAACATGGGGTATTAAGAGGGTGGGACTATGGGAATTTTTGACTTCTCATATTTTCAAACTGTTGGTCATGAACAATTCCACACAGTTATTTGTATGGTCAGCTGTATAAATCAGTCAAATGACTAACGAAAAGCAGGTTACTGAATAGGATTTTTTATTTCATTGTCCTACATGGACAACATTTAGTAAAATAAAAATTAAAATCTTAAAGATACTTACTTTATCTGGACAATTTTTACTCAGCATAAATGGGAAGATTCGTTGCTGTAAGTATAATGCTTTAGTTCTGTCACTACCATCACAGCCATACATGAAGATGTTCTCTTTCCTACTATGTCCATGTAGATCACAATATAAAATAACCTCTCGCTTCTCCATCAACCTACCAAAAAGAAAAAGAACAAATTACTAAATATTACCTCTGAATTTTCTTCTATGGGTACAATTCTGTATTTATAAATGTAAAATCCAAATAAATACAGTTTCTTATATCATAAGCTTTCATTTTTTCTCTTTTCTTACCTATGCCACATATTATTATTAATATACACTTTAAAATATGTAATAAGTTCCTGTTTATTACATATAAAATCTGAATGCTGAAGACCTCCTCTCATAAGAAACTTACTCTCAAGACTTTCTCCCAGCAAGTTCTAGTCTATTGTTCTGGTTTTCTGTTATACTCAGAAAACAGGTCACTCCTGTTTTAGCTCATTACTTTTCACATTGATTCTGAAGGACTGGAATGTCTTCCCCTTTCATCTTTATAAATGTAACTGCTACCCACCCCATCCTTAGAAACCCTTCTCACATTTCACTTCCTGCCTGACTAGCAGAGACCATCCATTTTTGTCTTTTCAAACTCCTATAGTGCTTTATTGGTAGCATTTCCTTGGCACTTGTCCAGAAAGGTTTCCATATTTTTGATATTTAAACTCATCAGGGATGGAGAATGCTTTTAATCTTCTAGAACAGCCCATAATAAATACCCAAACATTTCTTAAAAATTGAATGCCTGAGAACCTGTTGTTGAAGCAAAATAATAGTTAATTCTTAATTAATGTGGTGGCTAAATATCATTCTGAGAAAAATGGTACCAAACTTTGAATTGAAAAATTGGTAATAAATTTCTAACAAATATTTTAAAGAAATTACTATACATTCTGTAAGGGCACAATCATAACTTAGCACTCAATGATTTTAAAACAATAAAAAATAAAACTTTTGGGCGGGGATTGTGACTGAGTGGTAGAGCACTTGCCTAGCAAGTTTGAGGCCCTGGGTTTGATCCTCAGCACCACATAAAAATAAATAAAATAAAGGTATTATGTCCAACTACAACTACAAAATAAATATTTTAAAAAATAAGACTCTCAAACTGACTAATGAAAATGACTAACAGAGAAAGCTTTTGAAAAATAAAAAAGTGGTGTTATGAGCACTTTTCTCTCTTTTTCATATTTTCAGATCTTATATAGCATTATTCTATTAATAAAAATTAAACCATTTGTTGTTATATATGGAAGGATAAATACTAAAATGTTAGCAGTAGTATTATAATTATATATTTATAACAAAACTATTAATATCTAAAATAAATTATTTAAAGCATTACTTTTAATAAAAACAATTCTCCTTTAAACTATAATAAAATTTTAAACTGAAATCTGTTATATATATTTATTAACTACCCTTTATCTCATTTGTTGCCAAATAAATTCTAATTGATAACATACCTTTGACAAAAAGCCACTGAAAGATCATTATAAGTTTTTAGAATACTAACTAGATAAGCATGAATATCTAAGTGAACAACTTAGATATGAAGTATGCTGTGCAATTTTAAACCCCAAATTCCTCATTTTAATGACTCTTTAGCTTTTTATACATGAGTCAAAAAAACCCTCTACTTTTAAATAATCTATTCCTAAAGAAATATTATTACTTCAAAAGTAAAACAGGATATTAAAGTATCTTAACTTATATTAATTAAAATAATTTTAGAGAATAATTTAGATTTTTTTCTTATCCACAGGTAACTAAGATTCTGTATTTTATATTTTACTCAGATCTACTCTGTCTTATTCTAATATACTTTAAATATACTTACTCTTAGATCTACTTACAGCTAGTTCACCTTTGCACACATATAGGACCAATTTCTTATTTTATTTACCTACCTTTGATTAATTGCACTGAGGTATTTCTCTTCCTTAGAAGTCTTTCTGAAACTCACTGAATAGATTTCTGCCTGTTAACCTTCCTCAAAGGCAATCTAACAACTGACACATTTGTCCATAAAGACAAGCCAAGAGGTTATGGTATGTAATCCATCATGTGTCAGGCCAGGAAATTCAATTAACTTTTTTCTTTTTGCACTTGACAAATCACATTGAATGCAATTAGAGCTCTCAATGTTCCAGTCCCTATTCTGAGCATATTAGTAATAATCTTCTCATTTAGTTCTCGCAACTTTGAGGTAGTTACTCTTGTTTCATAGATGACAAAACTGAGACTTAGTTTTTTTAAATTGCATAGTTAGTAAATGATATAAATAGAGATTTCAATGTGATATGCTTATTCTGAAATCCCTGCTCTTAAACAAAAAAGTTAAGAGACATTGAACTAGGAATGGGTGTTCTTTTACTCCAATAAATCTCTCTACTGTAGCCCATGTCTCTTCCTCATTGTTGTTACCACAATCCATCAAAGAATTCACCCAAATAATAAATAATTAAATGTTGTGTACATTTTACTTTGGAAAATTTAAAGCTGATCAATTTTCCTAGGGGCAATTAAGATGACCTTCATGCAAATTTAAATAACTATGAATCTCATAGTTAGACTCATTCAGCAATGTATGATCAACACAGTATCAGCTCTGTGAAATGTAGTTACTATTCACTTTTAAGGGATTCAAGGACCCCACTGTAAACATCACCACTACAGTTAGCTTTAGCAAGCAACCCTATTTGGGAATATGCAAATTTAGCTATTATTTTCACAGAGTCATCAAAACATTCTGGGCTCTATTTCATTAATTTAAGGGAAAAATTTTCAATCCAGTGGCATAATGCCAGAAAATTATAAAATCAGTTGGGAAGAATCGGGATAAAATAAAATAGTTTCAAAGTCTCTTAAGAAAATTAAAGTAAAATTAATGGGATTGTGGGAGCAAAATTCTTGCTACCAAGTTTCCTAATTAAGCAGAGATAATCTGAGGCTCCTTTACCTGTGGATCATGTTCCGTGTGTACCAAACAGAAGGAAAAGAGTCCTTCAGGAGGGAGGTGTAATTGCGGTTGAGGTCGCGCCCAGCTAAGGAGCACCGGTAGTTTCCCACAATGACACCATCTGGATTCAGCATGGGTACCACCTTGAAGATGAAAGTGTCCCGAAGCAACTGGGCGTCACTTGAGTCTCCTAAAATATAGTCTAGGAAGCCTTTCATGATCCAGGAGCTGTTGGTCTCACCCGGATGGACCCTTGCGGTCAGAATCACGGCCTTCCTCTTCCTGGAGTCCGAGTTCTTCAGGGGCGTGGTGATGGTCAACACGTACACCATGTTCCTGGCGAGCGTGTGGCACAGGACGCGGGTTTTGCAGAACTTGGACCGGACTGGGTCATTATTGATGCCAGAAAGGTATTCTTGCAGGTTGGTGTAAGTGTAAGGGTAGCAGTGCGCAAAGTAGCAGGTGTCCTTGTTGTGTGGAAACTGGAATGTCCACGTGAGGGAGAAGAAGTGGCGGCCTTCCTGGCCCAGGTTGTTCTTGTAGTACCTGATCTGGTCTCCTATTCTCTGCCAGCCAACGTTGTGAGCCTTGGCCTCCTTTTCAGAATAGAAGAGTGGGCGCATACCCCGATTGTAAAGGCTAGCGGGCTTGGTGAAGTTGACAATGGTGAATCTGTAGACAGTTTCTGCTTGGGTGTTAGAGACTTGGAAATAATACCACTGGGTGTGCTTGTTGGTGAAGAGGTCAGGGCGCACAGTCAACTGGTACTCGTATTCTGCCCTAATACACAAGGAAGGAAGGGGGGAAGCACATTAGAAGGTAAAAATTAAATCTTGAGTTGAAGTTAAATGAAGAAAATTATTTAGTTTTATCTATCTTACATATCCACAGAATTTTTTTGTGGGATGCAATGTTTACTTAGGCTGTATTCAATAGCAAGTAACTTCAAAAGATAAAATTCTGAAATTTTCTTTCATTGGCTGAAAACCTGTTTCTGGGCTAATTCTAAGTCCTTTGTATTTCTTTGTGTTCAAGAGAGCACAATAAAAACACAGGCTTTTGAAAAATTATATATTTCCAAGTAATTGTTTTCTAGAAAATAAATGATTAATGAAGTATTGATAATAAGAAAAATCCATATGTCCTTCTTTGTTTTAGGCACACTTCTATTTTTAATTGATTTTTTAAAAAGATAAATCACAGGGGAATGCATTATAATTCTTATTACACACATAGAGCACAATTTTTCATGTTTCTGGTTTTATATAAAGTATGTTCACACCAATTCGTAAGACACATTTCAATTCTAGGGATATGAAATGGTTTTCATTGAGACTGACTATATCACATAGATTCATTGATCATATGTAAGTTATAAAATTTGAATTCCTTCAGTACAATAACTTCTTTAGTACAAGGACTACATTTTATAACTATGTGAATCCCAACTAAGTCACTGAAGATGATGTGAAATAAGGCTCTTCCAGCAAACTCATGGGCTTGATGTTCTGCCTCACTGGAGCCCAGGGCAATGGAGCTGCAGGACCATGAACTGAACCTCTGAAATCTGGAGATAGGAAGAATGGAGCAAGTTGGAGGCTGAGAATTGCCCTTCTATCTACACAAGGGCCCAGTCAGAAGGCATGGTCTATGAAAAAGTGGGCCTTCATCAGATTCTGAATCTGCAGGCACTTTGACTTTGGATTTCCCAGGCTCCAGAACTTGCTAAGGATCAAACCCAGGTCCTTTCTCAAGTTAGGCAAGCACTATACTACACCACCAGCCTAGAAAATGTTATTGTTAAGAGAAGTTTAATTTTACCAAAATAGTATTCTACATTTAATGTAACAACTGTATAATTTTATTTTTTTGTTTGAAAATATGAACTATTTTTTAAAATAGTAAGATTGCAAGTATTTTATTTGAATCATAATGAAATACAATTTATTCAATAAGTATTTATAAATAACATACTCTGGAAAAAAGATATAAAATTATATTCTAAATTTCCAAAATTTTAATGCTTATTTGTATTATAATTTAATTATTTATATTTTGATTAATCCTCATGTTGGAAGTATATTGAATATTAATTTTTAAAGTAGAAAATAATAAATAAAAATCTCTATTCTGACCTTTAGTATAAACAAGCTGCTTTTATTATAAGCAAATATTATTGGGATGCGTTACTCGAGAATATGGGATTTCTATTATGTAGTCAATGCTTTTTATTATTAAAGAAGAAAATACAATTATAGAAAAGTGTTAAATAAGGACAAAAATGTTTCACTGGGATATTGTTTATATTGCATGGTTAATTGGTACTTTTTTTTGTATACCTAATACAATAGATGGTCTAGTCCCTCAAATAAAAATTATTAAAACCTACACTTTGACTACCTTCTGTAGATTACCACTCTCAAACCTTGCTTCGAACATCAAAGTATTGTCACAGGTGTCAACAGGTGGCTTCAAGGGTGTTCGATTGCCCCCAACTCGGGAATACACAAAACAGGGCTCTTTGTAAGCTGATAAGAGAGAAGACCATGGAGACGTCAAGATGTGACAAAAGTAAAGATGTCTAAAGTATGCCAACTATGCCCCATAGAGTTTGGAAGTACACTTCTACTAATATGAAGATTATAAATCTAAAGTAATTTGTTACCAATTTATATAGATTTGGATTGAAGTTAAGAGACTCTAAGAGTTCTTAGAATAGAAAAGCAATACCTAAATTAAATTTACATATTAATCATATTAAAATATTCATTCCACTTCTGCTCATGATAGAGTAACTAGTCCTGAACTTTCCCTTTTACTGTAAATGACTGTAAAATATGAGTTCCTTCCATTACTTTGGACAACACAATAGTTAGAATAGAACTAACTACAGTTACTGAAAAGAAATAAAATATATGGAGTGAACCCATATTTAGCCCTGATTTTAAGCACAGGGGTAATTTCTGGACCAAAGTCGGGGGAGGTTGCACTTAATAACATGACAGCTTTGTTGCGTTGAGGTAAGATTGCTTTTTTTTTTTCCTTTTTGAAGCTGCTGAAATTTGTAAGGCAGAGTAGAAGAAAGCTACATAGAAGGAGTCTAGAGGTTCCCCTGTCCTTCACTAAGGGTGTAGCTACAGGAAAGGTGAGACTTAGAAAGAAAGGAAGACGCACCACTGGGGGCTGAGACACCAGAGGGCATACAGTTTAGGAATACACTGGAATTCCAATGTATTCATGATGGAAATATTTCCTAGAACACCCTGGGCATTCAATTGTAACTCCAGAAAGCCTGTACCCTAGGTATAAGCACCATGTTCAAAAGTAAGGGTAGGATAAGATTAAGAATAAGATAAAAATTAGTCTGCCTCCGTGTTCTACCACTGAGCTGTATTCTGAGCCCTTTTTATTTTCTATTTTGAGGCAAGGTCTCCCTAAATTGCTAAGGCTGTCCTCAAAATTATGATCCTCCTGCCTCGGCCTAGGATTATAGGTGCATGCCTTCATAAAGCGTGCATGCGCGCACACACACACGCACGCCTCAGTTGTTGGGGACTGCCTCTCTAACAGCTAAGGGTTTCTACGGGTCTGGAAACCATTCTGTGCTCTTACCCATTCTGTGCTCAGACCCAGGAGACGTTTTGATGCTGCTCTGTTGACAGTCCTATCTTGCTTCACCATCCTCCTTTAATTTCCCTTAATTCTGTCCACCCTTTTGTAAATTCATTAAATTACAGTAAACTATCTTACATTACCCTATGTGTGCCATCTAATTCCTGGAGACACCCTTCACTGACTTGCCTATTGGATCTTATTTCAGTTATGTATGGGTATTAAAGGAGGTAACAATGAACATTGTTAACACTATAACAAAACTCATGACATTTTATTTATACTTTGTTCTAAATTATTGAGTAGATCAGGATTATTTTTTGTACTTGTTATGGATTTTATACTACGATTTCTGTTTCTAAGGCAGGTTAATTTTTTTAAATCTGAAGTACTTCTCTCATTTCATTATTTAAAAATATGAATGTAATAATGATTTCTAGATTTACTTACTATATAGGAAATAGCCCCTGTGAATTTCTCTTCATTTTGTTAAGATTTTAAAAATACATCACTAAGATATCAAACAGCAATGGTGAAATTGTTTAGGAACCCCATCATTCCTCACTTTAGTGCTTCAGGAACAGTACAGTTTAGAATATGGGATGAGACTTCTGTGTTTGATTATTAGCACTCTCTTATCATAAAAGCCAGACGGATTTTGCACTGATAGATCTCAAAGTGTAATATTTATTGTGAATGATATCCTGAGATATAGTTGTGGATAAAAATATGGGGTATTTTCTTCTTTTTCAAAGATGATAACACTAAAAAATGCATTGAACAGGTGTGCAATTAAAAAAAAAACCCATCTGAATGATTGCATGAATGTGAGCCATCGATGGCCAGTGAACAATAGTTGTAGAGCACACTAGATTTATCTTTGAAAACTTGCATGAGGCAGAATTCATTCTAAATATAACTTTCTGTTCTAATGTTCAACATGAAGCCTTATTTTAAAGTAGCCGCATAAACTAGCACTTCTTCAAAAATATAATTAGTACAAATTGATATTTGAATCAAATATTTCAACCAATATTATGGGGACCGGGACTTTGTAGCAATCTGAAATTTCTATTATTAACAGCAGAACAAATATAACTAAGACATTAACCAAGGTGTCCAATTATATATCACAGCAATGTGTTTCATTATGCGCTTACCATCTTCAGCCAGATAAACCACAGTGTCTTCCTTGGAGCTTGAATAAAGGGGTTCTATTTCTAGACCTGTTGGGATATATACTGGCTCAGGATAAAAAGGAGTCCAATCTGGAAGAAAGAGAGGGCACTCTTTGAATATTATTTCAAAATAAAGTGGGCAAATTATATTTTCAGATTATTAATTGATATATATACACATAGGCTAAAACGAAGCATTTTATTAAGGGGTATATATTACCAAGGGTTCAAAGGAGGTAACAATGAACATTGTAACACTATAACAAAACTCATGACATTTTATTTATACCTTGTTCTAAATTATTGAGTAGATCAGGATTATTTTGTACTTGTTATGGATTTTATACTACAATTTCTGTTTCTCTTGAGCACTTGATACCATTCTATTCCCCTCTAGGAGTCTTGTTCCACTTCTTATTCTTCCTGTCCCTGCACTCTAAGCCTCTTGGTTGATAATGGTGTCCTCTAAGCTTATGAACATATTACAGATTTTTTTTTGGTACATTAAGTAAATTTGGGTCAGAATTTTTTTCTACATGGATATTGTTATAGAACCAATTCTGGTTTTTTTAGTATATAATCTTTTTATTTTTTATTAGAGCTTTTCATAGTAGTGAGTTCATCCTGACAAACTCATACATGCGTGGAAGTCAATTTCAATTCATGATCCTCTTTTTCCCTCTTGTCCTCTCTCCCCTCTCCCATTCTCTTTCTTCTACTCTACTAGACTTCCTTTTACTTGTCTATAATTTGTATTGATTAGTCCTATATGTTTTCCTATCCTTCCATCCTGCCTTCTTTTACTCTAGCTTCTTCCTATGAGAGAAAATATTTGATCTTTGAGTTTCTGAGTTTGGCTAATTTCGTTTACCATGGTATTCTTCCATTTCTATCCATTTACTGACAAATTCCATAATTTAATTCCTTTTTATGGCTGAGTAGAATTCTGTTTTATATATATATATATATATAAATATATATTAATAATATAAATATACACACACACACTACAGTTTCTTAATCCATTAATCTGGACATCTGGGTTGATTTCATAATTTAGCTATTATGAATTGTACTGCTATAAACATTGATGTGGTTGTGTCGCTGTAGTATGCTGATTTTAGATCTTTTGGGAAAATTCTGTCATGGTATATAATCTTTTTTGATGTGTTGTTGACTAGTTTGTTAGTATTTTTCCAAGAATTTTGCATCAATATTATTATTGGCCTGTAAAGTTCTTGTAGTCTCTTTGACTTTGGGTTATGATACCAATTCTTGAAAAGACGTTTCTTGCCCCCATTAGATTGCTTTGGTGCTTTTATTAAAATCCATCTAATCAAAATTGTGTTGGTCTATTTCTAAACTTTTTATTCTGTTCCAATGATGTATTAACATTTTTGCCAATTATTTGTGCTATTAAAAAAATCTACCAAAATATACTTCTATTCATTGCTTACATGGTGAGAAAGAACTCAAATATGTAAACAAAACATTTACTAGGAATTACATTTATGAAAAGCAAAACAAAGAAATACCACTCAGGAAGATGGGAGGGGAGGGGAGGGGAGGGGGGATAGTAGGGGATAGGAAAGGTAGCAGAATACAACAGTCACTAATATGCCATTATGTAAAAATGTGAGTATGTAACAGAAGTGAGTCTGTATTATGTATTTGGGGAGTTCAAAACCCAATTGAGTCGAATGTATGAAAGATGATATGTCTTGAGCTCTGTAATGTTTTGAACAATCAATAATAAAAAAAAAGAAAAGAAATACCGCTCACTGATTTATCACAAAGGAAATAACATATTGGTTAAGAAATATTGCATTGCCAGTATGCAGGTGTCCCACTCATGTCCCCTTCCTACCACTCGTCTTTCTGTCTCCTTTTAGCTTTTCAATAATGCATTTACTTCCTTATTTTCCTTGATAGTTTTACCACCCAAGTGTTCATATATATTCATGTGTGCAATATAGTTTAGATATAAAACTATAGTTTTTTCTACCTTTGAACTTAACATAAGTCAAACCCCATACTATTCTTCTGTGCCTTCTTCCATGATAATATTTATGAAATCTATCCACATTGTGGCAATTCGATATATATTGTCCATTTTCTTTGCTATATGTTATTGTCTAAGTATACTACAATATTATACAACCCAATTTTTACTTGATTGGGTTGTTTCAGTTAGGGCTATAATGAACAGTGGTGCTATGAACAGCTTCATATATATTCCTTGGAGTACCTATGCTCATAATTCTTTGGAGTATATACTTGGGAGTAAAAATTCTAGGTAGAAGTATGTATATCTTCAACTTCAGCAAATAATACTAAGCTGTCATCCAAATTGTTCATCTTAATTTAGACATCTGCCATCAGATGATGAAAGTTCTATTTGCTCTACATCATCACTATTGCTTAGTATATGTGAAATTTAACCTTCTAATATGCCTATGGAACAACACTCCACCTTACTAACAATCAGGTAAATGTAAATTAAAAACACAATGAGACACCACTTCATTATTAGATTGAGTACCACTGTTTCATGTTTATTGGACATTTGGATATCATTTTTGTTATGTGCCTATTAGACTCTCTTGCCCAATTTCCTGAAGGGTTGCCTTTTACTTATTCCTTGTGGAAATACTTTCTATAAATGACCTTTTTGCCCAGGTGTAATTTTGGTTGTCAATGTGACCGGATTGAGAGATCCTAGAGAATGGTAAGACACACTTTTGGTGTGCCTGTGAGGGTGCTTCACAGATGATCATCATGTAAGTCAGCAAACTGGGTGGGAAGACTCACCAAATGTGGGTGGCACTGTGCAGTAGGCAGGGGGCCTGGATAGAACAGAAGCAGAATGGGGAAGCTTGTTCTGGCCTGCAGCTGACTCTTCTTAAGTGCTGCTTTTATTGCTGCTACCCCCTCAATCATGAACATCACACTCCAGATTTCTTAGGGCATCAGTGACTGTCCAGGGGCATTCTGGGCCTTGAGTCTTGGATTGGAGCTGTATCACTGAGTTCTCTTATCTGAGGCTTCCAGTTTCCTGGACTGAGTAGCTACTGGTTTCCACTCTCTCCTGTCTGCAGGTAGCCATTGTGTCCATGATTCAGCCTCCGATCATGATCCAGTCTAAGAAATTCCCTTATAATTATACATACTGGGAAAGTTTTTGTGGTGCTGGCTTGGGGAGAGTAACAGCAACCTCTACAAAAACTCTACCCAGACAATCCACCCACTCTTCCTTTGGAATGAGAGGCTTAATCTTTAATAGGACACTGATAAAAATAGTTTCATTGGGGGAGGGAAACAATGGGAAAAAAAGTACTACCATTGAGTGAGGGGCTGGCATGGATGCCATTTTCTGTTTCTATGTTTGCCTATTCTTGACATTCCATATAGATGGAATTACATTTGGCCCTTTGTGTCTGGCTTCTCTTAGCATGGTGTTTTCAAAGTTCACTTGTCTTGTAGCATATATCAATACTTCATTCCTTTTTATGGCCAGTTAATATTCCATCATGCAACAAACCACATTTGTTTATTCATTCATGTGTTGATGGAAATTTGGATTTTTCCATGTTATTTGCTATTACAAATAATGCTATTAACATTTGTGTGCAGTTTTTTCTTTGGGCATATGTTTTCACTTCTCTTGGGTAGACCTAGTAAAAGAAATGCTGAGTCTCTGACTTTAACTCTGACTTTCTGAGGCAATGCCAACCTCTTCCAATTTCTCTACATCCTCACCAACATTTGTTATCTGGATTTTTGATTCTAGTCATCTTAGCTGATTTAAAGTTGTATCTCAATGTTGTATTAATTTGTACTTCTCTGATGACTGAAGATGTTGAACATGTTTTCATGTGTTTATTGCCATTTGTTTATCTTCTCTGGAGAAATGTTTTATTGGAACCTCTGCATGTTTAAAACAATTTTTTTAAGTTGTAGATAAACACAATACCTTTGTTTTATTTATTATTATGTGGTGCCAAGAATCGAACCCAGTGCCTCATGAAAGCTAGGCACGCATTCTACCACTGAGCTACAACCCCAGCCTGCTTTGCACATTTTTAAGTTGAATTGTTTGTCTTTTGATTTTTGAGTTGGAAGTGTCTTTAATATATTGTAGATGCAAGTCCTTTGTTAGATACATAATTCACAGTTTTTAATTCTATGGATTGTATTTTCATTTGTTTGATAATTTCCTTGCAAGCATAAACACTTTCAGTTTTAATGAAGTCTAATTTATCTGTTTTTTTGTCCTTGTTCTTGTTTTGATGTTTTACCTAAAAACTCACTACCAAATTCAGAGTCAGGAAGATTTTCCTGTTTCCTTCTATAAGTTTTATAGTTTTGATTCTTACACATTTAGGTTTTGATCCACTTTGAATTAATTTCTGCATATGTTTTAGTTAATAAGGGTTGAACTTCATTTTCTTTCCTTTGCATGTGACTATATATCAACTTCTCCCAGAAGCAGCTGTTGAAAAGACTTTCTTATTGAATAATCTTGTCATTCTTGTCAACAATCATTTGTCCACAAACACATGGATTTATTTCTGGATGTTTAATGTAATTTTATAGGTACGGGGAATCAAACCTGAGGTCTTATGCATGCTAGGCAAGCACTCTGCCACTGAGCTACATCCCAAGTCCCCTTGCCCTTTACATTTTTTTTTTTTAATTTTGAGACAAGGTCTTGCTAAGTTGCCTAGGATGACCTTGAACTTGTAATCCTCTTGCCTCAGCCTCCCAAATTATTCAAGTTATTCTATATGTCTACCCTCATGACAGTATCACACTGTAGGTTTTTAGTAAGTTCTGAAATCATGAAGGTATGATTCCTTAAATTTTTTTTCAAGTTTTTATTTTTTACAGAGCTATTCAGGGTTTTTAAATTTTCCATATAAGTTTTAGGATTCACATGGCTATTCTACAAGATAGCCAGTTGGTATCTAATGGGAATTTCATTTAATCTATAGATCAATTTGGTAAGGACTACCACTGTAATCTAGGAAGTCTTCTGATCCATGAATATGGAATATTGATCCATCTATTTATTAGATTTTTAGATCTTT